CCCAACAGGGTCCTTCCTTCATTTAGGTAGTATGGCCATTAAGTGTAAGGTAATTATGTTCTCAATGCCTCTTAGTAAAACCACTTAGGTTAAAAAGAAATAGGAATCATCCTAGGCAGGAAAATTATTCCACTTTCTTTTAAGTGTCCTTCCAATAACTAAACGCCACTCATCTGCATTCTCCTCTGTGGATATTTTGTCTCCTGAGGAAATGAACTTGATGAGTGCTGAAAACTTCTTAAGTGGTTTAAATTTTGTTTTCATTGTTTGCAGCGGATTACTGGACATCAAAGATTCATTGCACTTATGAACAAGGAACCTTATTTTCAGTTTCTGTGTAATTTTGCAAGGCTGTACAATGTGCTGATGCAAGCCTTTTTCAGTTCAAGAGAATAAATGTTTACAAATGTAGACCAGCGTTGTCTTTTTTTTATTAGAAACATCTTTAGGGGCTGGTAAGGTGACTCATTGGGCAAGAACATTTGTTGCATATCAATCTCTAGAACCTATAAAGTTAGAAGGAGAGAACTCACTCCACAAAGTTGTCCTGTGGCCGCAGTATGTTTTCCCATGGTGCCAAAAGCAGTAAGAGAAAATAACTAGTATCATAGCTGACAATGAAATAGGATCTACACTCTCATTCAGGCTAAGAAAAGTTAGTTTTCCTGGTCCCATCATTGAGGGACTTGTGGCCTGTAAACAGTAGAAATAGACCTCAGAATAAAAAACAGCATTCTTGGTGCTTGATTAAGTGGGGGCAGCACATCCACACACAAAGCAGCTAAGTTATTCTCCACATCAACAGTAGAAAAATGTCAACCTAAGTCCTGAGCAGAGACCAGCCAGAAGGTCTTTGTGAAGGTGGTCTGACCCTTCCATATCAGCAGTCTTCGTGGTCCAGTATCCAGCTACTCAAAGGCCCCAGTCTGGGATTCTGGAAGCTTTGAGAGCTGAGACTGAAAGAACCCATCAGCCTTCACCAACATAAAACACTGCAGCAGAGTGCATTGTTTCTGATTTATTTCTAACTAACTATTTTGGATCGTTTTATTCCTGGCACAGGAATATTAGAAGGTCATAAAGAAAAGACAGAAGGAAATCCTGAGTCAGAAACAGAAAAATGATCAAAGTAGTTCTTTGGGGATGACAAAAGGAAGCATTGAAATAGATAAAACTATTAGCTAAGTTCAGTTTCAATTTTCTTGTTGTTTAACAAATTTAGTTGTTTAACACAAGCCTTAAACTATGTGTGGTAGTGCAGGTCTATAATTAACAGTACTCCGAGGGTTGAGGCCAGAGTTCCATTTCCAGGATTCATGTGGTAGGAGAGAGCTGACTCCTACAAGTTGCCCTTGGACTCTGACATGCTATCACACACAGTCAAACACACACAAGTAAGTACTCCAAGCTGAGGATGCAGTTCAGGTGGTACAATGCTTGTCTAACATTCAGAAAGCCCTGGGTTTGATCCCCGGCACCACATAAACCAGGTATGATGGTACACACATGAAATCTTGGCACTAAGGAGGTGGACGCAGAAAAATCAAAAGGTCATCTTTGGCAAGTTTGAAGACAGCCTGGGCTGCACCAGACCCTGGACTACCAACCTGAAATTGTGGCTGGTCTGACTTAGATCAAGTCTGTTATAATGGGGCTGGGGGGGGCGTTATATACCATCTGAAGGTGGGGATAAAGATGTCACCAAGAAAGCCTCCATCAACCGAGAGTGACCCATCTTCAAGAAGACAAAAATACAGGGTCACAAGGTAAAAGAATGAACATTGGACAGATAGAAACCTCTAACCTCTGTTTACACATTTTACTTGAGCCTCAAAATAGTTCAAGCAAGGCACAATCACTCAAACCTATAATTCTAGCACTCATGATAATGGTTGAAAGTTCTGGTCTACATAGTAAGACTGACTCAAATAACAATAATAATATTCTTGGACCAGAAAGATAGCCCATTGAGTAAAGATGCCTGCCACCATGCCTGACAAGTGAGTTCACACCTCAGAAACCACGTAATAGGAGAGAACAAACTCCTGAAAGTCATCCACGTGAATGCCATGGCAGACATGCATCCCATGTTATACATACATATGCACACACTTGAAGAAATAGATGTAATGTAAAAAAATAGTAACATTAATCTATCAGTAAGCTATATCCTAATGAAGCTTAGACTTCTGTCAAGACAGTGACACCTATAATCCTAGCACTTGGGAGGTAAAGGTACAAAGATCCAGAATTAAGGTTATCCTCCTCGGCTATACAGGTCATCATGAGACTGTCTTAAAAATAGAGACTAGACATAAAATTAGCCCTGTGTCATGGTTAGAACAATAGAGGTCAGTTTGTCATACACTGTGTAACATACTTGGATTTGATTTTGCTTCCTATGGTTTTAGTCACTTGTATTCTAAAAATATATAGAAAATTTAAAAAAGGGATTTGTGCCAGACGTTGGTGGCGCACGCCTTTAATCCCAGCACTTGGGAGGCAGAGGCAGACAGATCTCTGAGTTCAAGGCCAGCCTGGTCTACAGAGCGAGTGCCAGGATAGGCTCCAAAGCTACACAGAGAAACTGTCTCGAAAAACTAAAAAAAAAAAAAAAAAAACAATCTGTAACCTGACATTGGTGGCACACATCTTTAATCCCAGCACAAGGGAGGCAGAGGCAAGCACATCTTTGTGAGTTCAAGACCAACCTGGTCTACAAGAGCTAGTTGAGGACAGCCTCCAAGGCTACAGAGAAACCCTGTCTCGAAAAACCAAAGTGGGGGGGAATTCAAGGTCGTCTTCACTACAGAATTCCCTTAATAGATCCATACATCCCCAGAACAGAACTTTTTTGAAAATTACATATATTTGAGGTGGGGGAACCTGTGCAAGTCAGAGGATAAGTCAGTTCTCTACCACGAGTCTTCTGGTGCTCACTTGGGGGCAGGCTTCTTTACCCACTGAGCTATCTCGCTGGCCCCAGGATGAAAATTCTAAGTGGTATCAGACAATATCACCCTAGAAAACTGGAGTAAGTTTCTCTCTGTACAATCCAATGTTACCTCCTGTACAGTATGTGTTGAGTAATCAGTCTACAAATGCAGTAAAAATCAAATGTAGATTCATGATAAAAGTAGAGGTTTTCAAAAATACAGATCAATGAGCTGGAGCGGTCAGCTTGTCATCTCACCCGCCTCCAGTGTTGTGGTAAAAGGTTGGAGTCTAAAGCATCCTTTCGCTTTCATCTCATCTGGACAGTGGCACCAGGGTCCTGAGGGCTCGGTTGGCCCTCAGTGCCCTCACCAGCTTCTCCACACTGAGGCCGGACTTTTTAACACTAGTCTCATCATGGGGTGTGTGTGTGTGTGTGTGTGTGTGTGTGTGTGTGTGTGTGTGTGTGTGTGTTGTGTGTGTGTTATATGCACATGTATGCAGTTGTCCAGAGGAGGTTGTGAGGTCCCCTGCAGCTGGAGTTACAGGCTATCGTGAGCCACCTAATGTGGGTACTCAGAACTGAACTGAGTCCTCTGCAAGAGCAAAGTGTGCCTTTGAAGGTAGAGCCTCTCTCCACAGAGCCCTTCATTCATATTTAAATACTACTTCCTTCAAGTAGCTAGCTTCTCCAGTGGTCCCTTTCAGTCCCACTTGAGGCTATTTCTGGTAAACTATAATTAATAACTTAACGTAAATTAATAATATCCTGTAGATCCCCTTCTCAGCGTTTATCACAGTGGCAATTACAAGAGTAATTGGCCAATTCATTGCCTAATGTTTTGCTACGCATCGGAATGTAATCCTTGAGACAGATTGTATATAGCTCTTGTTTACTAATGCCTCCTCCACACCACTAATGTATTTCTCAACAAGTATTTGTCCAGTGATTAAATTCAGAAACCATCTAGCAAAACAAAGGCTTTGCATTCTGAGAAGTACACGCATAGTTTTCTTAAACATGATTTGGGCAGGCCTTCAGAACAATAGCTAACACCTCTAAAGCACTTAATTACCAAGTCCTTGCTAAGCACTGACAAGGCTGCTTTCTGTGTAATCACATAGCCTATAGGGCAGGTTCCCTCTTGGCTGTAATTGTCTAGTGAGGCCAACTGAACTGTCAGAGAGGTTAAGAAATTAGTACATGGTTATGCCAACTATAAATGGAGGTATTCACTACCAGGCCTGACTGTTTTCAGACTTTATGGGCTAACTCCTTGTTAGTGCCCCACATCTTGCCACTAACGCCGCTTTATTTTATTTTATTTTATTTTGGTTTTTTCGAGACAGGGTTTCTCTGTGGCTTTGGAGGCTGTCCTGGAACTATCTCTTATAGACCAGGCTGGTCTCGAACTCAAAGATCCGCCTGCCTCTGCCTCCCGAGTGCTGGATTAAAGGCGTGCGCCACCAACGCCTGGCTTCTAAGGCTGCTTTATATTACTCACTTGTATCTGCCTTTGATGCACAAAAGGAATGTCAGAGTATTTTACATAAGAAAACTTGATTTTTGAATGAAGCTAGGACAAATGCAAATGTTTTTTCTTCCATTTTTATTTCATACGCATCCACAAACTTACAGTTATCGAGTTATCTTCTTCCTGGCCTATAGGCAGGTGAGTTTTATTCCATATAGACAACTTTCTTTATACCTCTCTCAAGAAAAAAAAAAGTTTTGTTTATATGATTTTCTTTTGTGTGTCTACTTTTTTAAATAACAATTTTTATTTAAATTAGAAATAGTCTCATTTTATATACCAATCCTAGTTCCCTCTCCCATCCTCCCATGCCCCCCTCTTTATATGATTTTCATACAAATTATTAAGTATGGCTTGTCATAATGGTGCATGTCTTGGGAGGTAGAGGCAGGAGGATTTCTATGAGTTCAAGGCTAGCCTGGTCTTCACAATGAGCTCCATCCAGGAAAGCCAGAGCTACATATTCTGTATATCAAAAAAAAAAACAAACAGTTACAAATCCATGCATACAAATCAAAACAAAAAATGCTGTTTCAAGTAAGACATGGAACTTTTATTATTTTGAGACAGAATCTCTTTCATGTTGGCTTCAAGGTTACTTACTCTAGGCCAAGGATAACCTTGAACTTGCCTTAGCCTCCTAAGAGCTGGGATTTTGTTGCATGTCACCCCATCCAGTTCATGCCATCCTGGGATTTAAGCATGCTAGGGGAGTCCTCTACCACTTCCTCACACCGTGAGCGTGGTTTGTTTGTTTTTTTGTTTGTTTTTTGTTTTTCTGAAACAGGGTTTCTCTATGTAACAGCCTTGGCTGTCCTAGAACTCAAATCTGCAGACCAAGCTGGCCTCAAAATCACAGAGATCCACCTGCCTCTGCCTCCCATGTGCTGGCATTAAAGGCATATGCCACCACTGCCCGGCCACTCTATTTTCAAACCATACATAAAAGCATAAAGTTGTATACATTAATGGGCTCCCATGTGTGTTTCAATACATGAATACATCATAGAATGTTTAAACCAAGCTAAACAAATCTACTTCATTTATCATTTCTTTATTGTGAAACTTCAAAAATCAGTCCACAGGACTGAATTTTATTTCTAGTAATGTAGAGAAGGATGGAGGAGAAAAAAAATTAAGTCAACCCCGAATTGAAGTAAAAAAAAAATTCTTAGTTCTAGAGAATGGTGTCCTATATAAAGAGATCATTGTTACAGTTTTTTTTTAATTGGTTGAAAAATACAAACTCTGTTGTAATTTGTTACCTATTTTTAGGTAACATTGTTGTTAATTATGGAATAAGGACCAGCAGATGGACAGAGCACAAGCCATGGAGAGCATATTAACCATAGTTTATTATAGCGAGACTGAAAGGGGGGAGACAGACATGGGGGGGGAGAAAGTGGGCAGGGGTCTGTCCTTTTAAAGGGGTCCTTTGCACCTGCGTGCAGACTGGTTCTCATGGAACTCTGGGCTGGCCAGAGTGCTGCCTGAGGGCATTCTGTCAGGTAATAGGACAACAGGACAGGCCATCGAAATGCCTGAACCTTTCAAACAAATTGTAGAAATGGAGTGTTTTTATGTCCCCTTAAAGACTGTCAGAGGCAGGAGGGGAAATCTGATGTAGAACATGTAACGTAATTACTTATGCAATGTTAAGCCACATAAATCATCAGATCTGCCAGGCGTTGGTGGCGCACGCCTTTAATCCCAGCACTTGGGAAGCAGAGGCAGGCAGATCTCTGTGAGTTCGAGGCCAGCCTGGTCTACAAGAGATAGTTCCAGGACAGCCTCCAAAGCCACAGAGAAACCCTGTCTCGAAAAACCAAATAAATAAATAAATAAATCATCAGATCTTATTTAAGAAAAAGCATATAATGTTATGAAAGTATTACATATAGATTAATATTTATTTCAATGTCAACCAAGCACAAATTGACATATCTTTAGGGTACTCTTACATAACAATGGAATGAAACCATTGTTTTCCTCTTTTGTATTACCATAGAGAAAGCAGTTGGAAAATGAGTGTTCAAAAAGTGGTCATACGACAGGCCGTGGTGACGCATGCCTTTAATGCCAGCACTTGGGAGGCAGAGGCAGGTGGATCTCTGTGATTTCAAGGCCAGCCTGGTCTACATTTTGAGTTCTAGGATTGCCAGGGCTACACACAGAGAAACCTTGTATCGAAAAAAAGCAAAACAAAACAAATTGGTAATGGATTATGGATGATAGCACAGGCCTGTAATCTCAGCACAAATAATGCTGAGGCAGAAGGATGGTGGATTAGTTACTTGTCGCTGTGATTAAATACTTGACAGAAAACAAGTTCAAACAAATATTTCTTTTGGCACTGTTTAGCCATATGACAGAAAAGGCATTGTAGCCTTCCCCTTTTCTACTTACTATGGGCCCCCGGGCTGTAGGGATGGTGTCACCCACATTCAGAGAGACTTCCCTCTTCTCTTAAATTCTGAAAACCACCTCACATATAGCCCAGAGGGTGTATCTCCTTAGTGAATCCAAATTCAGTTGAGTTGACAATGAGGATTATAACAGATGCCTGTCCAGTCCGAGGCCAGCATGGACTGCATAGCAAGCCTGGTTTTGTAGGAATAAAAATAAATAAGTTTACATAGCATAGTGGCTAGAGGTTTTAGAATGTGATCCAGTTACTCAATGCCCATTATATCCCCGAAGTCCAGTGTTCTGCCAATACCTCCCCCCCCAGGTAAGGTTTATGGTACTACAATAAACTACGGTTGTCCCTTTAGTCTTTTTCTTCTTTCGTTAGTTTGTTTTTTGATTCGGGGTTTCTCTACATATCCTGCTTGTCCTGGAACTCACCACACAGAGCAGGCTGGCCTCCAGCTCTCAGGGATCCACCCACCTTGGCCTCCTGCGTGCCGGGAGCAAAGCCCTGCGCCACCAGGTTCCTCCGAATCCTGTCTTTTTCACAGAGTCAAACCCAATAGAAACTGAAGGCTTCCGGTGAACACCTGTAAAGCTTATTTTTATTTCTTTGTGGAACGGATTGCCTCCACTAGTCAAAGAGTGATAGCAAGTCGCTATCTTTCATTTATTCTTACAGCGCTGCGGCGCTCACTACTGCCGCTTTCGTCGTGCCTCGAAACCACGGTGTATAGTTCCTCAACAAGGAAATAAGCCAGCCTCGCAAGACTACAATTCCCAGGGAGCCTCGCTGCAGGCGACGCCGACGTGCCGTAGCGGTTAGTCATCCTTCCTGAAGCCTCCTTCCCCTTCCTGGAGATCAGAACCTGAGGCGCCGCGGGCAGGCGGGCGGGCGCGCGCGCGGACGGGCTTACCTAGCCGGCGGACCGGGCACGGGGCCGCGCGACCCCTGACGACGCGTGCGGTCACGTGACACGGGGGCGTGCTTCCTCTGCCCAGCGCGCTCCGGTGCGTGTCCCCAGGGGGCCCGCTGTCGGGCGTCGGAGCCTCTGGGTCCGCAGACGAGGCGTCCGACGAGCCGGTGGTTGCCCGGGCCGCGAGGCCGGAAGACGAGGCGGGCGGGGCCGGCTGCGGGACCGCGGCGACGACACACCGAGCGAGCTCCTGGGCCTGAGGGGAGCGATGCTGTGGTTCCAGGGCGCCATCCCGGCGGCCATCGCGTCTGCCAAGAGGAGCGGCGCTGTCTTCGTGGTGTTCGTGGCAGGTGACTGGGGAGCGGGCCCGAGGAGGCTTCTGGGTTTTCCTTCACTCTCGTTGGCGTCGAGCGAACGCTGTGGTCAAGTCCGCTCGGGCCTGTTCGGGTCCGCTCGTCTCCGATCGGCGCCGGCTCGGTTTTATGTCGCTTGGCTCCGGGCTTGCCTCGCTGCGGGGCCGACCCGGACGTCAAGCCTGTTGAGGCCGCGGGCCGGGCCAGGGCTCCTTGGTGCCTCTGGGTCGGTTTGGGACGCGGGTCACCCTCTGCTTCTGTGTGGGGAGCTCAGTCCAGGCCCTGTCCCTAAAATCTGAACCCTGCCGGGAGACGCGCCCCGCAGGCCCTGGCAATCGGGCTTTCGCGGGACCCCCCACGCTGGTGCCCCCTTGGTCCTCTGGGATCCCCTTCTCAGGGAGCTTGGACATCGTTTTACATCTTGGTGTTCAGGTGGCATTCGGACGGGCCATTAGGCGGACAATTGGGTCTAATTAGTTGTGAGCTGTCAAGAAAGCTGTGTCATCGGTAAGCCACAAAGAAACCACCCGAAGTCCACAGTAGCTGTTTTAGAATGTCCCTGAAACTTAAACTTAAGCTTCACAGAAGGGTAATCTAAGATTTAATAACTACTTTATTACAAGTTGACTCTATATGTTTAGCATAGTTTTAAAAGTATACATTCAGTCGTGATTCTTCTCTTTTAACATACAACCTAGTTTTCCAGACCTGTGCTAACTCATTTGCCCTGTGTTTCTCCAGGTTATTTTTTTTTTAATTTTTTAAATTTCATGTGCTCATTGGTGGTTTGCCTGCATGTATGTCTGTGAGAATGTGACAAAAGTCCTGGAACTAGTAGAACGGTGGTGGCCCACGCCTCTAATCACAGCATTGAGGTGGCAGAGGCAGATGGATCACTGTGAGTTCGAAGCAGCCTGGTCTACAACAGAGTGATTTCCAGGACAGCAGAGCTACACAGAGAAACCCTCTTTCGGGAAAACAAAACAAAAAAGTCCTGGAACTGGAGTTACACTGTTGTAAACTGTCATGTGGGTGGTGGGAATTGAACCCAGGACCTCTGGAAGAGCAGCCAGTGTCTTTAACTTCTGAGCCTTCTCTCCAGCCCCTGAAATGTTATTTCTTCACATACTTGTGTTTAGTAACATTTTACTTACATCTCTTAATAGTTCTACAACTTTGTCTGTTTCTGTGAAGAAAACTGACTGAAATATGAATTTGATTCAGCCTTACAATTTAAATGTATGGTTGTTTTGTTATGTTAAATTTTTAGCTTAGTATTGCTGTTAATTAGAGCATAAATCATTTAGATTCTGTTGGAATTGAATTATACTCTAAATAATCTTGTAATCTAGTAAGGACAATAGTCGCATGAGAATGAAAAGAATATGACACTTCAGTATGAGGTCAATAGGTTTATGAGATTTTAATATGATTGTAAGCCATCACATGGGTCTGGGAATTATTGAACCCATATCCTCAGGAAGAGCAGTTAGTGCTTCTAACCACTAAGCTCTATCTCTTCAGACAGCCGTAGTTTAGAACATTTTAAACTGTTCTTCAATATTTCAATAGTTTTTTGGGGGTGCTGTTATTTTCCTTGTTTTTATATGTGAGCACCTTAGGAATGGAGTTGTAAAGTAACTTGAACCAGGCTCAGAAAAACGGCATTTGGTTGGTTTGCATTTCTTTGAAACAAAAGTCTCACATATAGCTCAGGCTGGCCCTGAACCCCTGATCCTCCTCTGTCTCCCAAGTGTCAGGATTACACAATTGTACAACCACACAGGTTAAAATTTACATTGTTTTTGTTTTTGGTTTTCGAGACAGGGTTTCTCTGTATTGTTTTGGAGGCTGTTCTTGAACTCACAGAGATCCACCTGCCTCTGCCTTCCAAGTGCTGGGATTAAAGGCATGTGCCATTTTAACCGTGGGTTTTTTTGTTTTGTTTCGTTTTAAAGGGTTTGACTACATTACCTTGGCTGGCTTTGAACTCACTAAGATCTGTCTGTCTGCCTTTGCCTCCCAAGAGCTGGCATTAAAGGCATGTACCACCATGGCCTAGCAGCTGTTTTGTTTTTGTTTTGTTTTGTTTTGTTTTTGTTTTTCGAGACAGGGTTTCTCTGTGGCTTTGGAGGCTGTCCTGGAACTATCTCTTGTAGACCAGGCTGGCCTTGAACTCACAGAGATCCGCCTGCCTCTGCCTCCCAAGTGCTGGGATTAAAGGCGTGCGCCACCAACGCCCGGCTTTGTTTTGTTTTTTTTAAGCAGCTGTGCAGTGATGGTGCATACCTTTAATCCCAGCTCTCAGGAGACAGAAACAGGAGGAGCTCTGAATTCCAGGCTAGCATGGTCTACACAGTGTGAGTTCCATGACAGCCAGGGCTATGCAGAGAAACCCTCAAAAATAAGCAAAAAAAGAGCAGTTGTAGGTTATATGGTAAAATAAATCAATAGATAAATGAGCTCTAGAATCATGGTGTCCTTGTTTTTTTTAACAGAATATTCGATTAATGATATGTAAACATTCCTATAAAGTACGAAAGTTATCAGTTAACTTGAAAGAACAAACTTCCCCTTCATGGTAGATCCAAACCTGGGGCTTCATGCATGCCCGGTAATTGCTCTACCAATGAACTACACCCCTAGTGCAAACTGCTAGTTTTCATTAACAAATATTGAAAAACTGTTGAAATACTTGAAGTCTTACACTTTATACAGCTTTATACATATACACACTCCTCAATTAACTTTACTGGGATTTGCTGGTATTAAATATATTTAGAATATCAGCAACTATTGAATGCTTACAGAAATACTATTAGGAATGGACAGTGGAGTCTGTCCCTTAACCTCTTCTAAGATACAGTTAGTTTTTCTAGAGTTTTAGCTAGGTCGTCCCAACACAAAGTAGGATGAATGTTGCTCTAAGAATATATAGACATGCTGGGCAGTAGTGCCACACATCTTTCATCCCAGCACTTGGGAGGTAGAGGCAGGCAGATTTCAGTGAGTTCAAAGCCAACCTGGTCTACAGAGTGAGTTCCAGAACAGCCAGGACAGTTACACAGAAGCCCTGTCTCAAAAAACAAAAGAACAAAACAAACAAACAAAAGTCATACAGACAGTGGGATCATACAGCAGCAATATTCTGGTAATATCTAACAGGTAAGTCCCATCTTCTAATGTCAGACATTGTGACATGACACTGCTGTCTACAGAGTTCATATCTTAGAACCTCAGAATTAAATTACACCATCACCACCCAATCCCCAGCCTAATGACAAATAATCCTTAAGATATTGTAAATGTACCGGGCATTGGTGGCACACGCCTTTAATCCAGCACTGGGGAGACAGAGGCAGGTGGATCTCTGTAAGTTCGAGGCCAGCCTGGTCTACAGAGTGAGTTCCAGGGCAGCCTTCAAAGCCACAGAGAAACCCTGTCTCGAAAAACAAAACAAACAAACAAACAAACAAAGATATAGTAAATGAGTTCACAGAATTTTATATGGTATAGTAGACATAGCTATTCTTATGCTTTGACTCAAGACCATGGATTATACATGCCTTGGCCCTAGAGCTTTGTTCATAACTTGAAGAATATATCTGTAACTTATGATTTTCTTGATCTGAGATCTCATTAATATACCAACCTTTCAAAAAATTAAACTTATTAAGAAATGAAAAAGATAGCTATAGCTAGAGGAAGTGGTTCCAAGAGTGTCCAAAGAATTATTCCAGGCTCAGAACTTGGGAGGTAGAGGCAAGAGAACTGTGAGTTCTAGGTTTAAACACAACACCACACACGCACACACACACGCATGCACTCACATACGCACTGTGGGAGCTGGAGAGATGGTTTAGTGGTTAAGAGTATTTACTGCTTTTGCAAAGAACCTGAGTTCTGCACCCATGTGCCTGCTCATAACCATCCACAACTTCAGGCCTAGGGGATTTGAAGCTTTTTCTAACGCCACAACCTCCTGCACATATGTGGCACACTACTTAACATAAACTAAAAAAAAAACTTTTGAGACAGAATGTTTCTCTATGTAACAGTCCTGGCTGTCCTGGAACTCACTCTTTAGATGAGGCTAGCCTTGAACTCAGAGATCTGCCTCAGCCTCCTGAGTACTGGAACTAAAGACCTGTGCAACCACTGCCTGGCAAAGTAAATATTTAATTATTTCAGGGAAAATGTTTTAGGCAAGTTTTTTATTTTATGAAATTATTTTCTCTGTCTTTTTTTTTTTTTTTTTTTTTGGTTTTTCGAGACAACTGTGCCATAGTACAAAAATCTCCTGAGGAGATTGAAGCAAAGATGTCTGTCTAGTCAGTGGTGTTATAAGGCAGGCTGAAACTGTTCATGTCTGATACTGTTGGTTGTCCTCTTTGGCTAACATAAACCAAGCCTTTAAGGTTTAAGCAGTCAAGATTTCTTAGGTTGGATGGTGAGGCTGGAAGACTGCAGCTGTCTGTGCTTCAGAGTTTGTTGATACAGTTTTTTAAAAAATTTTATTTTACTTTATGTGCATTGGTATGAGGGTGTCAGATATTCTGGAACTTGAGTTACAATGGTGAGCTGCCATGTGGGTGCTAGGAATTGAACCTGGGTCCTCTGGAAGGGCAGCCAGTGCTATTAACCACTGAGCTATCTCTCTAGCCCCCTGCTGGCACACTTTTAAGAGTCTCCATTTTGGATATTGCTGCTCCCTCCAAGTATAACATGTTTTCTCCTAAAATCTAGGGTCACCTAATTTTATGATGTAGTTGATAATTTGATTCAAAATAAGACACAAAAGATACTGACAATCGCAAGTAGTAATTCTAGTGGAACTTAGTAAATACTAAGAAGCCTCTCATTGAAGATTTCCCTCAGCTACTACTGCCATCACAAAGCTGAGTCAGGAATAGACAGTGCCAGTGGGAATGTGACTTTGGGACCCTAACTTATCCAATATAGGTAAGGAAATGAAAGACACCAACTTAACAGAAAAACTGTAGTTTCCTTTTTAGGATTAACTCAAGCTTAAATATGTTTATTGCCTTCATTTGTTATTCTCCCCCAGGGTTTCTAGCTAAATGTCACCATTGTACAGTCTGTTAGATAATCCATGTTGTGGGTAGCCCTCATTTACTTCTCAGATTCATTTGTTTCATGTTCTCCATTGTCTATTATTTTCCCAGACACACAGACCTTTCTCTGTACATGTATTTCTGCATGGTGAACTTTTCTGTATTCGGTGTGGCTCAATTCTTTGGCTGTACCTTAAATGTCACCTTAGAGATGGATATGGTGGTGCATGTCTTTGATTTCAGCACTTGGGAGTTCAAGGCCAGCCTGGTCTACATAGTCAGTTCCAGGACATTCAGGGCTATGCCGAGATCCTGTCTTGAAAAACAAAGTCATCCTAGAGAAGGCTTCTCTGACCATGATAAAAGAGATTTTGTTTATTTGTATGTGTGTTTACATGTTGGGAATCAAACTCATATTTTCTTGTTACTAACTGAACTGTCCTCCCAAACCCAAACACTCCCATTCATAGCAATTACTGGTAGTTGTCTACTTGTTTGGAGATAGATGTACATATATTACATAAGCCCAACGCCTAGAACAAGCAAACTGAAATAGAATAAAATAGTGAATGAAGAATGACTACATAAGACTTTCGCCTCTTAGACAGACAGGATCTCTATGAGTTTGAGACCAGCCTGGTCTACTGAACAAGCTCCAGAACATCCTCCAAAACTACAGAGAAACCATGTCTTAAAAAACAAACAAAAAAACTTCCCCTTCTTTAAAGTGAATATAAAAAGAATGCTTGTTTTTTGTTTTAAGTCAGGGTTTCTCAGCCAGGCGTTGGTTGGCTCATGCATTTAATCCCAGCACTTGAGAGGCAGAGGTAGGTGTATCTCTGTGAATTTGAAGCCAGCATGATCTACAGAGCAAGTTCCAGGACAGGCTCCAAAATAATACAGAGAAACCCTGTCTCGAATCCCCTCCCCCCCCCAAAAAAAAAGGTTTCTCTATGGAGCCCTAGCTGTCCTGAAACTTAGTAGTCCAGACTGACCTCAAACTCAAGAGGTCAACCTGCCTTTGCCTCCCAAGTGCTGGGATTTAAAAGGGTATTCTTATTGATTTTGATCTGTCCTATTTCCATGTCCAATTTTTTCATAGGCTGTCATCTCAATCAGATATGCAGTCAAGTATTGTAGGCATGCCTGTATGCTCACTATACTAGACATTTAGATGTTTATTCCCGTAAACATTGAATGCCTCCTATATGCTTAGATACCTGTTGTAGGGATTTCAGTCTTAAGATAACATGAAAAACAGTCTTTGCCCTCCTGGAATATATTCTAATTGGGAGAGAAAGACAGTAAACAATAAAGATAAGGTGAATAGTGTATTAGAAGGTTGGTAACCTGTGATGGTTTTATTGTCCAAGTTTTTTATAGTGAAGTTACATTTTTAAAACTTTTTTTTTATCTTTATTAAATGGTGCTGGAGAGATGGCTTAATGGTTAAGAGCACTTGCTCCGTTTATAGAGGCCCTAAATTAGGTTCCTAGAAGTTACATGATAGCCAATTTCTGTATAAGAGTAGACACCCTAGTAGGACTGGACAAGCTAAGACCATTTGTTCCTCTCTCCTAAGACTCTGTTTCAGTTCCCAGCATATCATGGCAGCTTACAGCTGTTCATAATTACAGTTCCAGAGGATCTGAAGCCCTCTTCTAGACTCTTACTCACCCCCAAAGACAGGGATTCTCTTTGTAGCCCTGGTTATCCTGGAACTTACTCTGTAGGCAAGGCTGGCCTTGTAACTCAAGAGATCTGTCTGCCTCTGCCTCCTGAGTGCTGGGATTAAAAGTGTGTGCCAGGCTGGAGAGATGGCTCAGCGGTTAAGAGCACTGACTGTCCTTCCAAAGGACCTGAGTTCAATTCCCAGCAACCACATGGTTGCTCACAAACACCTTGAACGAGCTCTGATGCCCTCTGCTGGCATGCAGACAGAAGATTGTATACATAATAAATAAATAAAATATTTTTAATAAAATAAAAGTGTGTGCCACCACTGCCTGGCCTCTTCTGGCCTCTTTGAGTACTAGACATTTATGTGGTGTATACATATATGTATGCAGACAAAATACACATAAAAATAAGTAAATCTTAAAAAAATAAAAGACCCAGCAGGAAGAATCATTTAGGCTACTATAATCGTCTGGGTGACCTCTGCTAGCTTTGTTCAAGGCCGTAGCAGTGGAAGCTATAAGTAGTAATTATATTTGCATGTATTTTTAGACAGTCAACTGAAGTGATGGGATAGAGGTTTTGGTGCATGTTTGTGTGTTTGCTCTACTGGGGATCAAACCAAGGGCTTTATGAACTCTAGACAAGCACTCTACCATGGGACCACAGCCACGGCTTCATACAGATCAGTGTTTAAGTTTGGTAAAGTTAAGAGAGTGCTTGCTAAACTGAGTGTGGGAGAGCACACCTTTAATCCCAGGACTTGGGAGGCAGAAATAGCGAGTCCAGAACTACATAGAGACCCTGTCTCAAAAAAAAAAAAGAAAGAAAGAAAGAAAGAAAAACCTTTGCTGCTCTTACAGAGGGCCAGTTTATTTCCTAGCACTCACATGGTAGCGCACAACTGTCTGTGTCTCCCATTTCCAGGGGTTCCAAAGCTGCCACCTATTCCCCTCAGGCACTGTACGCTTGTGGTGCTCTTAAATGCATGCAAGGCAAAGCACTCATAACACATACAATAAAAATAAAACTTGAAACAAATATTTGTGAGTTAGATTTTATTTGGAGTCCTAGTTTCACGGAGGGAAGAATTTAGAATTAGCATTGCTGGCCTTGGCATTTCTAAGAATCCTTGAAATGTTTTCACAGGTGATGATGAGCAGTCTACACAGATGGCTGCAAGCTGGGAAGATGAGAAAGTGGCAGAAGCGTCTTCAAACAATTTTGTAGCTATTAAAATTGATACCAAAAGGTATGCTTATGCTTTAATGTTTCATTACTTTTTTATTTTGTAATCATGGTCTTTTGTTATGTATGATGATACTATTAGACTATTAAGAATGTCAATTTGGGGGCTGCAGAGATGGCTCAGAGGTTAAGAGCACTGGCTGCTCTTCCAGAGGTCCTGAGTTCAATTCCCAGCAACCACATGGTTGCTCACAACCATCTATAATGGGATCTGGTGCCCTCTTCTGGCCTGCAGGGATACATGCAGACAAAAGACAATATATATGCTAAATAAATTAATTTTTAAAAAGTTTTCAATTTTATGGGTACAGATTTCTAAGGCACTAAGATATACTGAGAACTTACATTATTTTTTAATTGTTTTGAATGTACCACCACACTCAGTTAATGGGAATTTAATTTTGAGGGGAGTGAGGTGGTTTCCAGACAGGATTTCTCTGTATAGCTTTGGAGCCTTACCTGGAACTGGCCGTGTAGAGCAGGCTGGCCTCAAACTCACAGAGATCCACTTGCCTCTACCTCCCAAGTGTTGGGATTAAAGACGTGCGTCACCACTACCTGGCTAAATGATTTCATTATGATTACTATTTAAGCTTTATTATAAAGAACTTGCAAATCAAAATTAATATTTTTACCAGAACTTAATTTCTGGTTGCCATTTTCAAATTTATTGTTACACTTTGCTAAGAAAAAAATTCAAGTTTCTCTTGTCTGCTATACATCTATGTAGCATGTAACAAAAATTATGATTTTGGGGCTATTAAAATGGATCAGTGGGTAAAGACACTTGTCATCAAGCCAGAAAACCTGAGTTCAATCCCCATGTCACACTTGGTGGAAAGAGAGAACCAACTTCACAGGTTGTCCTCTGACTTGCACTTGCCTGCCATGGTGTGCACATGTCCATGTACACAAGCACCCACCCAACCTACACACACACACACACACATGCACACAATGCATGAATAAACAAATGTAAAAATTTACTGTCCTGGAAAAGATTTGTAGTGTCTAGTTTGGAAGAAGTTATAAGTGACTATAAAGCTTATGTTGAATCTCTCGGCAACAAATGATTTCCTATATCTTTTGGAATCTCTTTTGTGAATGGAGCCATTTAATTTGAAAGGAATAAGGAGATAGCTCTCTGAGTAAAGTCATTGGCACCAAGCCTGATGACCTGAGTTTGAACCCCAGAACCCACATTCTGGAAGTAGAGAACTTACTCCTATAAATTATCATCTGATCTCCACATATGCACCGTGGAGTGCATGCTCACTTAAGTGTGTGCACAGACACTTATAAAGAAATAAGTCACCGGGCTGATAAACATGGCTAATCAGGCTTACAAAACCTCAACTAAATTAAGCCAGGCAGTGGTGGCGCACACCTTTAATCCCAGCACTCGATGGCAGAGGTAGGTGGATTTTTCTGAGTTTCAGGTCAGCCTGGTCTACTGAGCAAGTTCCAGAACAGCCTCCAAAGTTATTCTCTCTCCTTTTTTTGAGTGTGTGTGTGTGTGTGTGTGTGTGTGTGTGTGTGTGTGTGTGTGTGTGTTTTGAGACAGGAATTTATGTAATCCAAGATGGCCTCAAACTTGCTATATTGCTAAGGACCTTGAGTTACTGAACCTCCTGCTTGAAATTATGCATGTGTGGCCGGGCGTTGGTGGCGCACGCCTTTAATCCCAGCACTTGGGTGGCAGAGGCAGGCGGATCACTGTGAGTTCGAGACCAGCCTGGTCTACCGAGCGAGTTCCAGGACAGCCTCCAAAGCCACAGGGAAACCCTGTCTCGAAAAACCAAAAAAAAAAAAAAAATTATGCATGTGTGTTACCATACCTGCCATTTTACTTTACTACAGGCTTACAAAGTTGTGTAAGATGGTCTTGAACTCATTCAGTAGCTCAGGCTAGTCTAGAACTTGTTCTTCTGCCTCATCCTCCCAGCTAATTTGGATTTTAGTCAGGCATAATTTTCAGAATGTAAGATCATTAACTTATTAACAGTTGCAGATGTCTTTTTAACATTGACCTCAAAATAGATAGCATGCTTGGAAAAACATTGTCAAGACATTCAGGGGGCTGGAGAGATGGTTCAGTTAAGTATACTGGCTGCTCTTCCAAGAGGACCGGGGTTCAATTCCCAGTACCCATACAGAGGCTCAGAACCACTTGTAACTCCAGTTTCAGGGGACTTGATGCCTTATTCTGGCCTCTGGGCACATGTGGTGCACATACACACACATTAAATACATGAATATTCAGAAATTTGCCTGGTGCTGTGCAGTGGTAGCTCACACCTTTAATTCAAGCACTCTGGAGGCAGAGGAAGGTGGATCTCTGAGTTTGAGGCCAGCCTGGTCTACAGAGTGAGTTCCAGGATATCCAGGGCTACACAGAGAAACCCTGCCTCAAAAAAAAAAAATTGCCTGTAAGCTTATAAAATTTTCACTTATTGTTTCATATTAACAAAAATAGTGTAAAACAAACCTGTTTTCTTGTTATTGAACTATATAGCTTATGTTTTATTTTGTTTATTTGTATTTGTGTGTGTAAGTGCCTGCTTGAGTTTATGTATATGCCCCACATGCACTCAGTGTCTAGTTGATACTACTCTTAAAAAGTCTCCCTTATTCCTGACTCTGTGTGTATATGTGTGTGCATGTGCGCACTCATTTGTGGTGTGTTTTGCTAGTGATTGAATTGAGGAATGATACATGCTAGGCATGTGCTTTGTTGTTATCTGAGCCCTCTCTCCCATCCCTGACCACCAAGTTTTTTACTGGTGTTACATAAATCATTAAAGTATGTTTTCCAGTTTTAAATTTAATTATTATGAATAATTGTAATTATTACTGTAGGGGTAAGGGACACACTTGTAATAGCACATATATGGGCACCTTGGTGGAATTGGTTCTCTTCTACCTTCCTGTAGGGTCTGGAGATATTTAACTCAGATTGTCAGACTTACCAGCAGCTGCCTTACCTCATGAACCATCTCAGTGGCCCTCTGACATTTTTGTAGAAATGATGGTGTTTGACAACTTCTATACCCTTCCCCCATTAATTATTTTAGAAAGTTTTTCTTGATGGATATTTAGTATGTTTTAATCGTTGTCACACCGGAGTACTATGTTATGTCACTGTATCTTGTTACAGGTTATTTTAAGATTTATGTGTACTATATGAGTATCTGTATGTGTGTCTGTGCACCATGTGCATGCAGTGCCCAGGGGAGCCAGAAAAGGGTTAGATTACTGGAACTGGAGTACAGATGGTTGTAAGCAAGCCACCATGTGCTTGCTAGACGTCAACCTGGTTCTCTGAAAGAGCAGCCCATACTCTGAACCACTGAGCCATCTCTCTAGCCCCCAAGATTTCATTGTTTAGGTATATTTGCTATTTATTAAGGCAGCAACATGAGATTTAGTTTTTCCTGGAGATGGGTTCTCACTTTGTAGTTCTGACTGTCCTGGAACTTACTATGTAGAAGAGACTAACCTTGAACTCATAAAAATCCTACCTCTGCCTTCCTGGCACTGGGATTAAAGGCAGATTCCACCACACTCATCAAGATAGACATTTTTAACTTGTAAACCCAGCCACTACTTTAAGGGTTATAAGAAGAAGGGATTGTTTGATCTGAAAATTATGAAACAACAATTAAAAAAACCAAAAATGTCTTGTGAAATAAAATTCATATTTCTTTCCAGCTTATTCCTGTAATAAGTAATTTTTAATTTTTAAAATACACATATGATCGGACTGATAAATTTAATGAAAGCAACCCAGTATTTGGAAAACAGTTGAATTCATGTATGATTTTTCTCTTGTTTTTTTTTTTTTTTTTTACAGTGAAGCCTGTCTGCAGTTCTCACAAATTTGTATCCTTTCATTGAAGAATTGGGTTCATGTATGTTATATTTGCTTTTCTTTTTGTAATTAATTTAAGAATTAGTTTAATTTAGGAGAATTTAAACCTTTTAAGAGAAGCTATGTTGCAGTCTTTTGAGGTAATGCAGTGTAGTTAATGTCAAAGTAGATGTTTTTCTTTTTTTAATTTATTTTTATTTATGTGCATTGGTGTTTTGCCTGCATGTATGTCTGTGTGAGGGTGTCAGGTCCCCTGGAACTGGAGTTACAGACAGCTGTGAGCTGCCATGTGGGTGCTGGGAATTGAACCAGGTCTTCTGGAGGAGCAGCCAGTGATCTTAACGGCTGAGCCATCTCTCCAGCCCTGATGTTTTTCTTTTTTAATGTAAATATTTGAAGAGCAGTATGGTGTAATTTGGTAGAAATGTTAAAAGTCAGTAGCATTCTAGACAAATGCTCTAACACTGGCTGGGCTAGACCCACTGTATAGTATTGTTTTGTTTATCCTGAGATAGCACCTAACTAAGTACCCTTGGCTGCTCTAGAACTTGATATTTATCATTTATTTTGGGTCTGGTAGACTCATTTAAATGTCATCTTCACACATTTTTTTTTTGGGACACAGTATTGTAACCTCTTTGTGGGGCTTCAGTCGGATCCAGCCAGCTTGCCTGGTTCATACCTGAGAGGGGTGAAGGGACTAGACCCTCTCTCAGCCCGCTGCTTTAGCAGCCATGACAGGCTACAGAAAAGACATGTAGGCCTCTGACACAAGGAAACTCAAGATCTTCTGGCTTCCTGGAGCCTAGGGCCAAAACTGAACACAAAGAAACTCCAGACCTCCCCTAACCTCCTAGATACTTGATTTCTGGTAACTGTTTGGTCACAAAAGAAACTCCAGGGGAGACCTAAACCTCCCCTGTAGTCTCCAGGATACAGTTCTGAAAACTATTGGTATCTATGAACAACAGGCAACCTGCAAGTAACAAGACAAAGCCATAGAAACCACAGAATGTTCCCTCTCAGCACTGACCAATGAGAATAACTGGTACACAGGTATTTCATGTCAAAATATGACTTTGAGAAATTCTCCGAATTGTTCAGAAACCAACCCGTACCTACTGATGTAATCCTGTAACTTTTGTCTTTAAAACCTAGCAGTAGACAGGGAACTTCACTCCCTCTGGAGGCTGCTGGGAAAGCTAGCCAGACCAGGTCCTTGTCATAGTTGGATGAACAATCAATAAAACCTTGGCTTTTGCAGAAAAAAAAAGTCGGTTGCAAGAGGCAAAATGGGTATAATGATGTAGGGAATGAAATGCGTTTTTTCACTCCAATATGCTGTATAAGCCATTAATTATTTACATATCACATGTACTAAAGACATGATACGGTAATTGAGGTGAGAAACATGTTAGCTAGTCACATTGTGAGATCTACTAAGATGATGTGTTTTGCTTTGTTATTGGTTTTATAAAACTTCTTGTCTCAAGCATGAATTATTAGACTTAATTAACCTGTACAGATCCTGTAGTATGTGTCCCATCCAGTTTCTTTATAGGAGACAGCGGAATCCCTTTGGAAGTAATAGCAGGGAGTGTTTCTGCAGATGAACTTGTTACAAGAATTCACAAAGTCCAACAAGTAAGAAGGAACCAGAACTTTTTTTGGGGGTGGGAAGTTTCAAGACAGGGTTTTTTTTCTGTATAGCTCTGGCTATCCCTGAACTGGCTCTGTAGGCCAGGTTGGCCTCAGACTCACAGAGAGATCCACTTGCTTCTGCCTCCTCAGTGCTTGGATTAAAGGTGTGCATCCCCACCACCAACTTCTTTCTTTTGTTGTTTTTGTTTTTGGTTGGTTGGTTACTTTTTGTTTTGTTTAAGTTTTTTTTTAAATCCTCTGCAGCTCTTTAGAAGATTTTTTTTTATTCTGGCTTTGGTTTCATTAACTTAATGGATCTGTTTAAATTGTTTATATCTTCTTGATTTAATATTTACTAGGTCATAGGTGTTCAAGGAAATACCCATTTTGTCTAGATTTTCCAGTTTTATTTAGTTATATTTACTTTTTTATTTATTTCGGTTTTTCGTGACAGGATTTCTCTGTGTTGCCCTAGCTGTCCTAGTACTCACTTTGTAGACTGGGCTGATGTCAAACTCAGAGATCCATCCGCCTCTGCCTCCTGAGTGCTGGAATCAAAGGTGTGTGCCACCATGCCTGGTGATTTTCCAGTTTTAAAGAAGACATTTTATTTAGTTTGTGTGTATGTATGACTGATTGTATGTATGTGTACCACATGCATTCAGGTACTGAGGTGCTCAGAGGGCATTGGATCCCTTAGAACTAGGTTATAGATGGTTGTGACCATCTGATGTGAGTGGCCCAAATGCTCTACCAGAGCAGCAAGCACTGTTAACTTATAAGCCATCTCACCAACCCCAGTGATTTTCCAGGGTTTTGTTTGTTTGGTTGGTTGTTTGTTTTTTGTTTTTGTTTTTCGAGACAGGGTTTCTCTGTTATTGTTTTGGAGGCTGTCCTGGAACTCACTCTGTAGACCAGGCTGGCCTGGAACTCACAGAGATCCGCCTGCCTCTGCCTCCCAAGTGCTGGGATTAAAGGCGTGCGCCACCAACGCCCGGCCCAGTTTTTTTTTTTAATGAATCTTTATTTTTCTGTATTTCATTGACTTCTACAGTAACCTCCCCCTTTCCATTAAATATTAGTAATTTATGTCATCTTTCTCTTTCTGTTACATTAGTTGGCTGCGGTTTTGTCAATCTTTTTGGTTTGGTTTTCAAGACAGGGTTTCTTTGTGTGGCTGTCTTAACTTTGTAGATCAGGCTGATATCAAACCCCTGTTGCCACTGCCGTCCGAGTACTGGGATTAAAGGCGTGCACCACCATGCCCAGCCATTAATTTCAACCTTATTATTTCTTGCTATCTAGTGTTTCAAGATTTGGTTTGTTCGTATTTTCCTGGAACTTTGAGGTGCAAGGCTATTTTTTAATTTAATAATTTATTGAGTGTAGAAGGCAACCACAGCACTAAGATTGGTAAAAGTAAAGACCTGCCTTTGTGTTTTCAAGGCTTTTGAGCATTAGTCACCCTTCTAGAGGGATGCCTATGTGAGTATCAAGTGCACTCCTAGAACCTTAATTCTCAGACTACAACAGTGAGGAAGAGAAGAGTGACTCCAGAATTCAGTTCACAGCAGTCTGTTTGGACTTCCTTTCTCTCAGGGGCTGTGGCAGGCCAAACTGATGCTTCCCAACCTGTGTATGTTCTCTGACGTCAAGCCTCTGGGTAGCTCAATTTTTAACAATAGGTATTGTCTGAAGATAACACAGAACTGCCCTCTGAATCCTATAGCTTGACAAAGCAGTATTACCCCAGCCAGCCATCTATCTGAGGAAATAGATAGAGGGCCAACACCTGCAGTGATTTGGGGCCCTTGAGAAAAGTGAGCTTGTCCTGAGGACGATATGCTTCTCTTCATCTGCCTTGTCTTTGGAAGTGTCTTGAGTCCCCTCGCCTGGCCAGAAGGTCACTCTGCTTTAAAACCTTTTATGGGCTGGAGAAATAGGTCATCCCCCAGTACTGAAGAAGGAAAATTGTGCTCTGGTCAGCTTGTAATTGAATTCCATAATGTGATTTTGTTTTGAGGAAAGGTCTCTGTATAGCCTTAGTTGTCCTGGAACTTGCTATGTAGATCAGGCTGGCTTTGAATCTACAGAGATCCACTTGTCTCTGCCTGGGATTGAAGACTGGTAGGCTCCCATGCTCAATCCATAGTATGGTTTTTTGTTTAGCCTAGCACTTACGCTTTCAATTTATCTTACTGAGGGTTTAGTATTTCTACTCAGGTGTGTGTGTTTGTGTTGATAATTCATCTACAATTAAATGGCTATAGAGTTATAATTTCTTTTCTCCCAAGATGCACTCATCTAAAGGTGAGACATCAGTGACAAATGACAACCAGTCAGAAAGTTCAGTATCTACCCCATCTGCCTCACTTGAACCTAATGACGTGTGTGAAAATACTGAGTCCAGGAATACAGAGCTTTGTGAGACACCTGCTGCTTCTGACACAAAGTCGGATACTGCAACAGGTACAGGAAGACTATTCCTTCACTTCATATTTAAGGATGTGCATTAGTCTCACTGTAGCATCCCTGACAGATAATGTCCAGCCTTTCCATCAGCACAGTGGTGCATTTCTGTCATCCCAGTATTCAAGAGACAAAGTTAACAGGTGACTTACATCTTTTTCAGTTGCATTACATGCAGCTTTTGTTTTGCTTTTTTAATAATTAAGGAGGAGAATGCTCAAGTCATGACAACCCCTCCCAGGAGCCTCATGGATGTTCAAACCAGAGACCAGCAGAGGATCTCACTGTTAGAGTGGAAAGGTTTGTTTTTCATTGTGTAGATAGCATCTTGTTTTGAAAAATTACAGTTTCCGGGGGCTGGAAAGATGGCTCAGCAGTTAAGAGCACTGACTGGTCTTCCAGAGGACCAAGGTTCAGTTCCCAGCATCCACATGGCAGCTCCCAACTGTCTGTAACTCCCAAGATCTGACATCGTCACACAGACTTGCATGCAGGCAAAACACCAATATATATAAAATAATAAATTATTTTTTAAAAAGATTACAGTTTCCAGCCAGGCATTGGTGGTACATGCCTTTGGTCCCAGAACTTGGAAGGCAGACACAGGTAGATCTCTGTGAGTTCGAGGCTAGCCTGGTCTACAGAATGAGTTCCAGAACAGTTAGGGCTACACAGAGAAGCTCTGTCTGGCTCAGTGCTAGAATACTTAGCAAACATGAGGTCCTACAAAACAGTAATAATGATGGCAATAAAGTAAATAAAATTACTTCAAAATAATTAGTGTCTTGGACACTTGCAGCTGTAAATACAGGCAGTTGTGAGCTTCAAGAAGTAAGCTATGGAAATCAAACTTTGTGGTCCAATGCAAGAACAATATAAACTTTTAACTGCTAGAATTTATATATTTTTTAATCACTATCAATCAGATAAATCATTAAAAAGTGAGAACTCTAATAGTAAATATAGGATAAAACAGCTAGGGTTGGAAAGGGGCTTCTGATAGACTCCTGTGGGTTCCTGGATTTCTGTAGAGATGAGATGGGCAGATAAACTATTATACTTTCAGGAGGTTATGTTTTGGTTTCTATATTCCCCTTTGTTTTAGCTAAATGAAACTTTTTTGAGACAGTCTGGTATGTAGCCCCTAGTAAACCTGTTTCCTAAATGCTGATCTTAAAGGTGTGTAGGTGTGTGCCACCATGCCTGCTGCCCCCCAATGAAATTCTTAGTTGTGTTTTGAATGATAGATTCTATCTTGGTGTTTTGTTTTTTTAAACAGACTAACAAAGAAACTTGAAGAAAGGAGAGAAGAGAAACGGAAGGAAGAAGAACAGGTAAAGCTCACTCTGTTGCTTGAAGGAATTTTTGATTTGTTGTCCAATTTAGCAGACCTTGGGTGATATCCTTAGAGCTCAGTGTTGTATGTGGTAAAGGAAAGTGTCTGTTCTCTGCACTTAGGTTATACTGTATACATTTTAGGGTCTTGGTTATTGTTTATCTGTTTGTCATGATTGGTATGCAATCCATGCTGGCTCCTAAATCTTAGGGTTGCAATGACTTAACTATGCCCACCTGTTTATTTTCTTTTTATAAATTTCCAGGAATAATTGAATAATCTTTTCCCCCCTCTGTGCATTGATCTTTTCATACTAAGTATCTAAAGAAAATTGATCTAAAATTGCTAGATTTGAGGAAAATCATATTTATAGACATCTTCCTGAATTTATCTAATGCTACATTCTAGTGTACTCATCATCTTTCTCACAATAATTGTGCCTCATTTAGTATAGAGTGCAGCCTTCCCACCAGCCTGGTTCCAGAGCCACATCAGTCCCAAATGAGCACCTAGGAGGCTATATTAATTATGAAGCTGTTGGCCGTTTGCTTGGTTTCTTACTGGCTATCTCTGACTTAAGTATTTACCTCATAATTGTTAATCTAAGTATTTCTCTTACTGGAGAAAGGAGTCCGGACCTCTTGTTCCTGTAGCGGCTAGATCATGACTCCCTGTGTTTCTCTTTCCCAGAATTCTCCTCGACTCCTAGTCCCACCTATCTTGTTTCCCTATTGATCAACAGTGCTTTATTCAACAACCAATAAGAGACAGATTTGAGAATGACATCTCCCATCTTCCAAGCCAAATAATTCATTGCCATGTTGTCCTTGGAGAGTAACACATTTGCTGTAGAAACTATAGACTTCTAATTCTGCTTGGATACAGATTACACTGAGGACATTGTGCTCTAACAGAACCATTTAAAAAAGTTTATAAGTTGATAGGCATTTGATCATTAATCATGATGTCAAAAATTTTTTCTTAATATTTTATGTGTATCTGTTTTGCCTATATGCATATCTGTTACCACTTGCATGCCTAGTGCCTATGGAGACCAGAAGAGGACACCAGGTCCTCTGGAACTGAAGTTACAGACAGTTGTGAGCAGTCATATAGATACTGGGAATCATATCTAAGCCCTCAGGAAGAACAGCCAGTGTGCTCAATAACTGAGTCATCTCTTCAGCTCCACTCTTTTTTAATTTATTTTACTTATTGGTTTTTCAAGACGGAGTTTCTCTGTGTAGTCCTGGCTGTCCTGGAATTCACTCTGTAGTTCTGCCTGCCTCTGCTTCTGAGTGCTGGCATTAAAAGTGTGCAACACCACCCAGCTTCTTCAGCTCCTTTTAAAAACATTGCTTTTAATTTTGTATGTGTGTATGTGTGTGTGAGTCCATGCGCACTAGCATACATGCAGAGATCAGTGGACAACTTGCAGCAATCCATTTTCTCTTTCCATTATGTGAGTTCATAGTGTAAGCTTTGGGGCAGGCACTTTCACTCACTGAACCATCTCATCTGTGCTTTTAACTGCACTCTATAGTCAGCTTTCCTTACATCAAAATATTCTCTGGGACAGGAGACTGGATTATGGTTTTGGTTCATGAAACTTTTCTTTGATTCAGAGAGAAATTAAGAAGGAAATTGAAAGGAGAAAAACTGGAAAGGAAATGTTGGATTATAAAAGAAAACAAGAAGAGGAATTAACAAAAAGAATGTTAGAAGAAAGAAGCAGAGAAAAGGCAGAAGACAGAGCAGCCCGGGAGCGCATCAAGCAGCAGATAGCATTGGTGAGCTTTGCTGTGGGCCCCACTCATTCATGTTGAGACAGCTCTTTTCTGTGTAGCCAACAGAATCCCTGAACGTCTCATAGCTGAACCTGCTAAGTGCTGCTGGGAGTATAAAAGTGAGCCACTGGCGTTTAAATTTATTTTAAATGCTTGATTCTCTGACATTTGTGAGATGGTTTCTTCATGTGGGATAGCTTTTCAGTCATTACCAAACAGTGCACACAGTAGCACATTTTAGTAACTAAAAGAATATAAATCTGGGCTTCCTTTTTTAAAGGAATTATGTATTGAATTGCAATAGTTAAGAAAATATTAATAGAGCTGGAGAGATGGCTCAGCGGTTAAGAGCACTGACTGTTCTTCCAAAGGTCCTGAGTTCAATTACCGGCAACCACATGGTGGCTCACAACCACCTTGAATGAGCTCTGATGCCCTCTGCTGGCATGCAGGCAGAAGATTATATACATAATAAATAAATAAAATATTTAAAAAAAGAAAATATTAATAGATAATTATTTTAATTTTTAATATTCTCCCCCCCCAACCTGGCTACTCCTCAAAAAAATGTTTTTAAAAGTTTTTTCTTTTTTTTTTTAAAGGTTTATTTGTTATGTATACAGTGTTCTGTCTGCCTGTATCCCTGCAGGCCAGAAGAGGGCACCAGATCTCATTACAGATGGTTGTGAGCCACCATGTGGTTGCTGGGAATTGAACTCAGGACCTCTGGAAAAGCAGGCAGTCTGAGCCATCTCTCCAGCCCCCTAAAATTTTTTCTTAAGATTTATTTATTTCATATGTATGAGTGTTTTGCCTGCATGAATGTATGTGTACCAATTGTGTGCCTGCTGCCCTCAGAGACCAGAAGAGGGTGTTAGATCCTCTGGGATGGTTGTTAAGTCACCATTTGGTGCTGGGAATTGAATCTATACAAGAATCCTATATAAAAATGACAAGTGCTCTAAACCACTGAGCCAGCTCTACCCCTGACCACCCCATCAAACGTACGTGTGTGTGTGTGTGTGTGTGTATGAATACATGCATGCGTGCGATTGCGTGTTGAATGAGTATATGTGATGACATATTTGGGTGTCAGAGGACCACTTTGTGGAGTCAGTTCCTTCAACCTTTATAAGGATTCTGAAGCTCAAACTAAGGTCACCAGGCTCATACAAAAGTTGTTTTTACCCTTGGATCCATCTCGCTAGTCCAAGATAGGAGTTTTTGTTTTGTTTTGGTGGTTTTGTTGTTTGTTTCTGATGTATTTGTGTATTATATGTAAGTGTGTCTATCTGCATATGGACATATGCATAAGAGTGTAGATATTCTCAGGAAGCAGACATGTCAAATCTCCTGGAATTGGAGTTGCAGATGGTTGTGAGCATCCCTGCATCTGTATTAGGAGGTGAACTCAGGTCCTCTGGAAGAGCAGCAAGTGCTCTTAACCACTGAGCTTTCTGTCTGGCTACCCAAAACCATTTTAAAGTTGTTTTCTCCATGTTACTTTGTTTTTTGACACAGAGTCTCACAATATAGCCCTGGCTGCACTGGAGCATGATATGTAGACCAGGCTTGACCTCAAACTCAAAAGATCTGCCAAGTGCTGGAGTTAAAGGCATGTGCCACCCCACCCCATCTGTTATTAAGAATTTTCTAAGAAAGCACAGCTTTAAAAGATTGTCTCTCTGGACATGGTGATGTAGGCATGCAGATATAGCTCTGTGAATTCATGGCTAGCCTGGTCTACAAGCCCTGTCTGAAGAAAAAGAAATCCCAAGAAAACAAAGAATTTGTTGCTTTGTACAAAGTCTTTATAAAAGCATTATTTAAAGAGAGATATGTGTGTGAATGTTTTGCATGTGTGTATACCACATACTTGCAGTGCTCACAGAGGCCAGAGGAGGCTGTTGGGTCCCCTGGGACTGGAGTTACAGAGGTTTGTTAGCTGCCTTGTGGATGCTGGGAACCTGTGTCCTCTGAAAGAATAGTCAGTGCACTGAACCACTGAGCCATAAAAAACCTATCAGTTGCTTTTTAGATTCAGCTATTGTATACATATATGAACATTGTTTATTCATGTGGTCATTCAACAAATACTCGTTAAACATCAACTTTGTGCTAGACTTTGTTCCTAGCTATGGAGCCAGTTCACCTTTTTTATAATAACAAGTCAGATTCTTGACATAGCCTAAATGAAGAAAACAAAAACAAGTCAAAAACCTCAAATCCTAAATGTGTAAAGTGTGCATGTGAACTTAAGGGAATTCATGTATCTGTGCTTATTCTTTGTGTTAAGAAGTGTGTAGATTCTGACAGAAGTCATGTGTCTAATGGTTTTTACTTCAAAGGATCGTGCAGAGAGAGCTGCTCGTTTTGCAAAGACAAAGGAAGTAGAGGCTGCTAAAGCTGCTGCCTTGCTGGCCAGACAGGCAGAAGCAGAAGTCAGAAGGGAGTCTTCTGCTCAAGACAGAAGGTACTTCTTACTTTATGAAAGTCACCTTGAAATAGCCAGGCATCTAGGGCTGCTTAGTGTTTATTTATTTTTATTATTTATTTTGAACAGAATCTCCCTATATTGCCCTTGCTAACCTGAAGTTTCTTATATAGGCCAGGCTGGCCTTGCACTCTCCTGCCTCCTCCAACTACTGGGTTTAAAGGCATGAGCCACCAAACCCAGCTCCTGCTTAGGATTTATGTGCTTTTTGATACTGGAACAATTGCTAACTTTCATAATCAAATAGTATGACTGGGTATGGTGGTACACACCTTTAATCCCAGCACTTGGGAGGCAAAGGAAGACTGATCTCTGAATTTGAAGTTGTCTGGTCTACACAGTGAGTCCCAGGCCTGCCAGGACTACATGGTAAGATCCTGTCCCAAAATGGAGAGGTGGCTCATCACTTGAGTGCTCACCGTGTATCTTATGTTTTTGTTGGAGCCTAGTCTTTAACGGCTGAGCCATCTCTCCAGCCCTCACTGTGCATCTTAAGGACAAGATTTTAGATCCCAGCACCCATGTAACAGCCCAGAATCCACGAACGGAGCAGACAGGATGGCTAGCCTTGCTGACTTCCAGGCTAGCTGAGACAGTATAGACCCCAAGTTCAAAGGAATAGGTGGAGAGTAACAGACATCCTGTACCTTTTGGCCTCTGCCAAGGTATATGAGCATACATGTTTGCATATACTCTCCACAGACACATGCAAATTAAGTCTATCCCTCTTTCTTTTATTTATTTATTTATTTATTTAGCCTAAAAAGGAACTTCCATCGACTCTAGAAAGATGCTGTTGGTTGGATGCCTTGAAGCTACAGTTAAGGCAGCTCACAACCCTGGCAGCTGAGACCAAACTCAGGTCCTCTGCAAGAGCAATGAGTTCTCTCAACTACTGAGCCATCTCTCCATTTCTGACTTTTCTCTTATTGCTTTGGAGCCTGTCCTAGAACTGGCTCTGTAGACCAGGCTGGTCTCAAACTCACAGAGATCCCTCTGCCTACCAAGTGCTGGGAATAAAGGCATGCACCACCAACGCCTGGCCCATTCCTGACTGTTACAAAATTCTTTTGGTTTTTTGAGACAGGATTTCTCTGTATTGTTTTGGAGGCTGTCTTGGAACTCGTTCTGTAGACCAGGCTGGCCGACTTTTACAAAATTCTTAATTCTGAAATTTATAAGGAATTGGAGAAAACACTTCAAAGTATATATTTAGTGAAGAATTTATACCTGAGCTATAAAAATCATGTGTATAATTCAACAATGAAAAGATTGTTGGGGAAAGGATTGGGATAGTTATTTCTCTCTTTTTTTTTTTTTTTTTTTTTTTTTTTTGGTTTTTCGAGACAGGGTTTCTCTGTGGCTTTGGAGGCTGTCCTGGAACTCGCTCGGTAGACCAGGCTGGTCTCGAACTCACAGTGATCCGCCTGCCTCTGCCTCCCAAGTGCTGGGATTAAAGGCATGCGCCACTAACGCCTGGCGAGATAGTTATTTCTCTAAAGAAGATATAGAAACGGTCCATAAGCAAACAAGATGTTAGGCATATGCCTATAATCCTAACCCTTGGGAATCTCAACCAAGAGCACAGCAAGTAGCCGGGCAGTGGTGGCGCACGCCTTTAATCCCAGCACTCGGGAGGCAGAGGCAGGCGGATCACTGTGAGTTCCAGGACAGCCTCCAAAACAATACAGAGAAACCCTGTCTCAAAAAACAAAACAAAACAAAAAAGAATAATGAGCTAATAGAACATTGGATGAATTTTGAAAACAATACTGTATGAAAGATCACATATAATATGATTCTTTTAGATGAAAGGTCCCAACTAGGCAAATCAGTTCATGGTTGCTAGGTCCTGGGAGAGGAATGGGAGTGATTGCTAATAGGCTCGGGTTATTTTGAGATATGATGAAATATCCTACTGTTAGTGTGATAGCTACATGGTTCTGTTTTTTTTTTTTTTTTATTTAAATTTAGGGGCTGGAGAGATAGCTCAGCAGTTAAGAGCACTGACTAGTCTTCTAGAGGTCCAGAGTTCAATTTCCAGCAGCCACATGGTGGTTCACAACCACTTGTAATGAGATCTGGTGCCCTCTTCAGACCTGCAGACATACATGCAGATGGACTACTGTATACTTAATAAATAAGTAGATCTTTAAAAGAAATTTTTTAACATTTATTTTGGGCCTGGGATGGAGTTGTGTGTGTACCAGTTGTCCATGTGAATGTAAAACAAGAGCTTTCAGGAATTAGTTCTCACCTTCCTCCACAGAGGTAGGCTCTTAGGGTTGAGCTGAAGTCATCTCACCAGGCTTGTTTTGTTTTTGAGACCAGATTTCATTGGGTATGTAACCCAGGCTTGCCTCTAACTTGGTATCCTCCTGTTTTAGCCTCTTGAGTGGTAGGATTACAGGTTGACAGGCTTGCATGGCAAGTACTTTGCCTGCTGAGCCATCTTGCCTGTCTGAAAATGTACATTTGTTTTCAACTGAATTTAAAGAGCAAAGGGAAGGAAGAAAGGATGGCAGCAGCTGCCATGGTACATGTGTGGAGGTCAGATGACGCACAGGTGAGTCAGTTCTCTCCGTCCACTGTGAGGACCAAAGTCATATCATCCAGCTGAGGAGCAGGTGTCCTACCTCACCAGCCCTTTGGTGGTTAATGTGTTGGAGAATGTGTAGGTGAAGATGCTGACTCCAGCTTGACTTGTTTCTTTTTTCATAGCACCGTTGCAAGAATTCAGTTCCGGCTGCCTGATGGTTCTTCCTTTACAAATCAGTTTCCTTCAGATGCTCTGTTAGAAGAAGCAAGGCAGTTTGCTGCACAGGTGAGTTCATAAAGACATGTGTGGGTATCAGAATCTTTCAGGAGAAGCTCCAAAGCAGAACTTGAGTGACAGGAGATAGCCTGAGACAGAGGGGGTTCTGGCTTGTATTACACATGATGATAGTACACAGTTAGCTCAAAAAGTTCTAAGAGGCAGGAAAAGCTAGTGGCCTCTTAGACATCTGATCTGAGGAGTTGTCTGTCCTAGAAAGGCAGTGGTTTCTCTTTATTTTCTGATAGTTAATTAAACCTTAGCCATTTTTCTGTTGGCCAATACAAAAGATCAGGAATTTACTTCAAAAGTGTGGAAATATTCAAAATCTAAGTGGCACATGAAATTTGATAGCATAGGAAGTAAGATAGGGATGTCCAGTACTTGTTATTCTTTTAGTCCTGACTCAAACGGACTCTGGTTAAGTCATCTTTTAGGATCTAAGCTCTTTGTACATACCAGTATTTTTCTCACAACTTCAGGGTTAAAATTAGGAAGTTGGCGGTGGTGGCGCATGCCTTTAATCCCAGCATTCGGGAGGCAGAGGCAGGCGGATCTCTGTGAGTTCGAGGCCGGGCTGGACCGACAGCCTCCAAAACAATACAGAGAAACCCTGTCTCGTACAAACAAAAAAAATTAGGAAGTTGGGCTTCATTTTCATGAGTGAAACTAGTTTCCTTGGGTTGGAGTTTTCCTTCGGATACCTTCTCTAAGGCTGGCTTTGTAGATAAGTATTGTTTAAATTTGTGTTTTTCTTGGAATATCTTGTTGATAGGCCATGCTTAGTTGTCACCCATGGGAGGTCTGCCCCTTCTTGAACAGAGGTGGAAGAGGGCTGGATTGGGGGTGAGGGGCAGAAGGGAGGAGGGAAGGAAGCTGTGGTCATGATGTAAAGTAAATGAAAAAGTTTAGTATGAACCCAGTGGGTGAGTATTTTACGGTATGTAGCCCTATTATTAAAATATAATAATAATTTAAAAATTGGGATATTGGATTCAAACCTTTTCACCAAACGACTCAAAATAGTCTCTCCACCATGTGTATATGTCTGTGTAAAGGTGTCACATCCCCTGAAACTGGAAAGGCGGTTGTGAGCTGCCATGTGGGTGCTGGGAATTGTACCTATGTCTTCTAGAAGAACAGCCAGTGCTCTTAACCACTGAGCTATCTCTCCAGCCCGCCATGACTGAATTTTGTATTTATGTTTGTTAAAGAACAGTGAAGGATCTATGGTTTTATCCCCCTCACCCCCCTTTTTGGGTTTTTTTCTTTTTCTTCTTTTTTTTTTTTTTTTTTGAGCCGGGTTTCTATGCATAGCCCTGGGTGTCCTGGAACTCAGTATGTAAACCAGACTGGACTTGAACTCACAGAGATCTGCCTGCCTCTGCTTCCCAAGTGCTAGGAACAAAGAGGTATGCCACCACACCTGGCTAAACAAAATTTTTTTAATCTGGGCTTGATAACAGGGGCAGGAGGATCCCTGTGAGCTCAAGACCAACTTGGTCTATGTAACAAGTTCCAGGCCATCCTGTTCGGATGATAACTCTGTTGCACTCTAAATTCCTGAATCTGAGATTATATGTATGGTGTGGGTCAATGACCATTTATGTCTCAGGATGAAGAAGCTCACTTAAAAATATATTAATTTTTATTTTATGTGCATTGATGTTTTGCCTGCATGTGTGTGGGTGAGGGTGTTGGATGCTCTGGAACTGGAATTACAGATAGTTGGGAGCTGCCATGTGTGTGTTGGGAATTGAACCTGGGTCCTCAGGAAGAGCAGCCAGCACTCTTATCTGCTGAGCCATCTCTTCAGCCCGAGGTAGCTCTCTTAAAGTTACATACAGGAATTCTGTAGTGAAGCTAAGGTTTTAGTGGATACTACTGCAGTAAAACAAGTATGACATAAAACAAACCACTCACACGAACGTTGCTCCCCCAGTGCACATAAAATTAGGTTTATATTCTGCTGTAGCTAAATCTGTACTAGTATTAGATCTAAAACCTAACAGAAAAGGATGGAGATGTCAGTGATTAGAAGCACTAGGTGCTCTTATTACAAAGGACCTGGGTTTGACTCCCAATGCCTACATGCAGCTTGCAACCATCAGGAACTCCAGTTCCAGGTGATCCAACACTCTCTTTTGGCCTCTGTGAGCACCAAGCACAGCACCCATGACACATAGAATAAAACTAGGTTAAAAACAAAAGATGTTTAAAAAAATACCAAATGTAAGTGGGGCATAGTGGTGCATGCTTTTAATACTAACACTTGGCAGAAAGAAGCAGGCAGATCATTTTAGTTCAAGGCCAGCCTGTTCTACATTGTAAGTTCCAGGACAGTCAGGACTAGAGGGACCCTGTCTCAAAACAACAACAAAAACACAAATGTGACAGAGATATGGGTACCTGAAAGTAGCAGATGGTCTGGCTTTATTCTCAGTGGTCAAAACACAGAATCAGCTGAGATGTCAGTCAAGATATGAGAAGACAAAGAAAACATGACATATACTCAGAAGTTTCTTTTTCTTTTTTCTTTCTTTTTTTTTGGGGGGGGGTCAAGACAGGATTTCTCTGTGTAGTTTTGGAGCCTGTCCTGGAACTAGCTCTTATAGACCATGCAGGCCTCAAACTCCAAGTGCTGGGACTAACGGTGTGCACCTCCACCACCCAGCTTATACTCAGTAGTTTTATTCAACAGAAAAAAAAAGAACAAAATAATATCATTTATGCAAAAACTGATGGAACAGATATCATAGTAAAGCAAAATAAGCTAGACAATTATTACAGCCTTCTTTTATGTTGAACCTAGATTTCTGTTTACATTTGAGTGTATACATAAGTATATATACATAAAACATGCATGAAAGTAGAAGGGGTACTACAGAAAGATTAGCAGAACTTGGGAAAGGGAGTAAGAGAGAAAAGGATTAGTGGATATGAACATGGAAATGTTCTATAAAATACTGTGTCATAGTGAAAACTCATTTTGTACACTAATCTAAAAGCAAAAGAGCATGTGCTGTTTGACATAGAAGGTGAAATAGAAAAAAAATTATCAGTGACTAAAACCGTTTGTCGCTGTTTGATAACTTGAGTTTGATTCCTAGAACCCACTCTGAAAGGAAAGAAGCAACCCCTGAAAGTTGTCTTCCACACACATGCGCACCCACATTCACACACACCTACACTCTGTCATAAACTAAAACAGAAAAAACGGTGTCTGTCTGTAGAATTCTGAAATGGGTTTGCCTATGTATTGAGGGAAATAATGGTCACTGTGGTTTTTATTTTAATGTATGTATTTGGAGACATGAGCTTAATGTGTATGCCAAGAAATACAAGTGTGTGTTGGTGAGTCATTAGCCTAAGTTTTCCAAATGCAGCTGCTGCTAGACTTGTTAAAGACGCAGCTGCCACTCGGTTGCTTATTTTGCGGTACTGTGTGGGAGGTGGGGGAGGCGTGTGCACCACAACACATGTGTGGGGGAGGTCAGAGGACGACTTGAAAAGTCAGTTCTCTCCCTGGACACCTAACTCAGGTTGTCAGGCATGGCAGCAAGCACTTTCAACCAGCAGGCCCTCCAGCTGGTCCACAGAAGAGAACTCTTGTTCCCACACGGCCTCTATTTACCTGCAGCAATCTGAATAAAAAAAGACTGGTCATATTTGAGGTGTTAAAAGCCTTGCTAACCCATTTGGATTTGGTATGTCTCAACTACTTTTTAAAACATTTCTCTTGCTACATGATTTTTAAATTTATGTCTAATTCAACTTTGTAAATTAAGCAACTTTAACAGTCATTTAAGAGTCTCAAATGATACATATTGTTGGTACCTTTTAAAGTCACCTTTTTTAAGGCTTAAAATTGACTTCTCTGTTCCAGACTGTTGGCAACACCTATGGTAATTTTTCACTGGCAACCATGTTTCCCAGGAGGGAGTTCACCCGAGAAGACTATAAGAGGAAGCTGCTGGATCTGGAGCTCGCGCCCAGTGCCTCCGTGGTGCTGCTGCCAGTACGCACACAGTTGTGGGCTCTGTTCTTGGGTTTCTGTCTATTCTGTCCTTGGTCATTAGACTTGGCAGAAGAGAAAAGGCTGTGGGTAATTAAATACAGAGTAGCAAAAATTAGATCAATCTACAGTACATTTATTCTGTGTTTCAGAAATTTGCAGGCTAATGTTTTGTGAAGCTTTGATTTTCAGCTGTTTTGTATGCAAAAAAAATTAACAAGAAAACACTGAATTTTCTCTGAACTCTTAGCTTATGATTCTACTGTCTGCCACATTAAAAATATATGTATAACATAAAATAATTCTTCAAGTATGACTTTTTTTTTGAGACAGGGTCTTATTGTGTCCAAGAGCTCACTGTGTAAACTAGAATGGCCTTGAACTCAAAGAGGTCCTTCTTCTTCCCTCTGAGGGCCAGGACTAAAGCCGTGTGCCACCACACCTAATAAGTACAGCACTTTTATCTCTCCTGGAGAAAAGAGGCTCAGGAAGCTAAGACATTGCCAAGGTCCTACCTAAGGTATCAGCTGAGTCTTTATTTCCTGGTCAGTGTAGTTTTCCCTGCTCTAAACTAGAGCTGCCATCAACTTGAAACTGCAATCAGAATTTCATGGTGTTCACTAGAATTGAAATCTTAGTCTTTTACTTATTTATTGTTCTTTGTTTTTTTTAAAACCTTTCTTTAATTAGTGAGACTTTTATTGTCAAATTTGTTGATTTTATTGCCAAAGTTTACCTTTTTAAAAGTTTTTTTTAATTTCATATACATTGGTGTTTTACCTGCAGGTATATCTGTATGAGGGCATTGGAGCCCCTGGAAAAGAAGTTACACACAGTTGTGAACTGCTCTGTGGGTGCTGGGAATTGAACCCCAGTCCTCTGGAGGAGCAGCCAATGCTCTTAACCACTGAGCCATATCTCAAAGTTTAGGTTTTTTGTTTGTTTGGTTTTTTGTTTTTTTTTCGAGTCAGAGTTTCTCTGTATTGTTTTTGGAGGCTGTCCTGGAACTCGCTCTTGTAGACCAGGCTGGTCTCGATCTCACAGAGATCCTCCTGCCTCTGCCTCCCGAGTGCTGGGATTAAAGGCATGCACCACCAACGCCTGGCCAAAGTTTAGTTTTCTTAAAAACAGTTTGGTTCACAGCTAAATCGATGGCTTGGCGATTAACATAAGGTGCTGTTCTCCTAGATGACACAGATAAAGTTCCCTACACAGACAGCAGCTCACAGCTTTCCAGTTCCAAAGGATCTGATGTCCTCTTCTGATGTACCTGGGCACCAGGCACACACGTAGTACACATACATAATATAGGCAAAACATTAGTACACATAAAAGAAGACTGAAATTTTTTTAGTTGATTCAGCCAAGTTTGATGCCATATCCCCTTAGTTGTAGCACGTGGGAGGCAGAAACAGGTGGATGTCTCTGTGCGTTGAAGGCCAGCCTGTTTCACATAGGGACTTCCAGGCAGTGTGTTAGCACACATTGTGAGGTGGAGAGATGGCCCAGCAGTGAAGAGCACTTTCTGCTTTTGCAGAGAACCCAGCTTTGGTTCCTGGAGTCCACATGGTGGCTCACAGCGATCTGTAACTCCAGTTCCAGGGGATCTCATGCCCTCTTCTTACCTCTGTGGGCTCATGCACACATGGGATGTACATACATGCATTAAAGGCACACACATATGTCAAGGGAGTCAATGCAATGGAGAAACTAATATGTTTATTAACCGGATAAAACTTAAACACAAGCTGGGAAGATGAGAAGCGTGGCAGGCTTCCAAGAGAGAGGGCTTTGCTTTCCCTTTTTTCTTTTATATCCTTACCTGTCCCTTCCCCCAGTCCACGCCCAAAGGGGTGTGGGCAGTATTGTGGGCTCACCCCTACAAACATACACATAAAATTGTTTTTTTTTTTTAAAGTAAAAACAGCTGGGCAGTGGTGGTGCACGTCTTTAATCCCAGCACTCAGGAGGCAGAGGAAGGCGGACCTCAGTGAGCTCCAGGACAGCCATAACTATACAGAGAGACCCTGTCTTGAAAAACCAAAAAAAGAAAAAAGTAGAAACAGCCAGGTGTGGTGGCAGTGGCAGAGGCAGATCTTTGTGAGTTCAAGTCCAGTCTGGTCTACAGAGCAAGTGCCAGGACTGCCAGAGCTACATAGGGAGAGCCATCTTGAAAACTAGAAAGAAACAAAGACAGACAGACAGCTCAGTTTTCCCCAAGAGTCCATAGGCACTTGGAAAGCAGTAAAAGATGGCCGCTTTTACTTGGACTGAGACAAAGTAAGCAGACTCTCATTTCCAGATAGAAGAAGCCCCTGAAACCTAAGTGTGACTTGATTGTGCTGATAGTCTTTACTTGCTTATTTACTTCTCATTTTTTTTAATTTCTAGGCAGGACGGCCGACCACATCCATTGTTCATCCTTCCAGTGGAGACATTTGGACATTACTGGGGACAGTGCTATATCCATTCCTGGCCATATGGAAACTAATTAGCAATTTTTTATTTAGTAACCCTCCTCCTGCACAGACTTCAGCAAGAGCCATATCCACAGAACCTTCAAATCGTGCACCATCCAACAAGTCAGAGAAAAGGTATATGTTCTTGCTTCCTCTGTTGGTAAAATACCCAGGTCATGTCCAACAGCTCTCTTACTCCTCAGTACTAGGAAAGCAAACCCCCCCCATTCTCTGAACTCTCTTTATTTCATAATTACCGATACAAGTTTTCCTCCCTGGTATGTAATATCTTTCTTGCTAACCAATATGTTGCCCTGGCTGGCCTCGAACTTGTGCAGATAAGGCTGGCGTTACACTCACAGCCTAATCTGCTCCTCCTCCTTTCTCTGCTTCCCAAGTGCTAGGATTAAAGGTTTGTGCCATCACACCCAACTTGTTGCTAGCCATATTTTGCCTAGTACAATGCCACTGGTTACTTAAAGTCTTGCATAATTTCTTTACAGGGAACTGTGTATAGAGGAATTTAATCTGAATTTTCTTTTATCTGTTGACTGATTTCCTTGTCTGGGTCACTCAGAAGAAAATCACACTGAAAAAAAAAAACTAGATACTGCCTTGAATATGGTGCCTCTAAGCCATACTTGTTGGAGTACATAGTGATTTCTGGCACTTGAAAGCCTGGTGGGCAGACAGGTGGAGAGTGGGGATCATGAATTTGAGTCCTTTCTAGGCTACACGGTGAAACAGAGCCAAATGGGAAATGAAAAACAAGAAAAGGAAAAGAATAATGATGCCTTCAGACTTATTTTTAATTAGTTTTTTTTGGGGGGGGGTTAAGACAGGGTTTTTCTATGGCTTTGGAGATTGTTCTGGAACTAGCTCTTGTAGAACAGCCTGGTCTCAGACTCACAGAGATCCATCTACCTCTGCCTCCTGAGTGCTGGGATTAAAGGCATGCCTCACCACAGCCCGACTTGCTTTTAATTAAGTATAGGCCTTATTTGCATTGCAGATCAAAGATTTGGTTGTACTGACAGCACTGATAGCTCTAGCCCATACTCTGATGACATATTCTAAATATGTTAACAGGAAGTGTTATCCAGAAGGTGAGGGTATACCACCATCTGACGAATGATGCTTTTTCTTGTTAAACACACTCTCAGCATTTGTCTTGAAGGGGGTGAGGTGTTTTGTAACTCAGGCTGGCTTCTTAACTGTCTATGACTTTGAATTCCTGACCCTCTTGCCTCCATTTCCCAAGTACCGGGTTGTAGTTGTTCGGGTTGTAGTTGTTCGCCACTACACTCCCACTTAGGCCTATGTTAGACATTGTAGCAAATCCATCAGCCATTGCTCTGCTGTCTGGAGAGACCTAGTCTGATGTTTCTCTGACTGACAGGATGGTGATTTGTCTGAGTACTGTGATTAGCTGATATGGCCTTTATCTTGAGTGTTAGGCAACAAGATCAATAACACCCTTAGTCTTGCTGAAGAATGGGTGGAAATATTTAATCTGTAATTACTATAGTATGGGACAGGATGCAATGTGAACTGTTAAAACTTGAATTTGAGACATGGTAGAGTATATATGTGAAAGGATAAGGCTTTTTGTTCCACCATTTTTCCATTTTGTTGTTAATAAAATTCTTTAAACTTGTGGTGGTGGTGGTGGTGGTGGCAGCATATTCCTTTAATCCCCACACTTGGTGAGTTTAAGGCCAGCCTGGTCTACAGAGAGAGTTCTTGGGACAGCTAGGGCTACACAGAGAAACCCTGTCACACATTCTTTTAAACTTAGACTCTTTCCTTCTTATTTGTTCTTGGTTATAAGTCATTGGTAAAGGATGCAAATGACTGACAATTTCTATCAGTTAAAGTACAGCTGGAGCTTTGTATAGCTTCTAGGGTGACCTGTAAGTTATATCTTAGTATGTGTGTCAACTTGTATGAGGTTTTTAAATTTAGTTAGCAAATGATCATGTTCTGAGGTTTAGTAAGTCATCAGAAAAATGAACAATATGATTTGGTTGGTTTGACTTAGAGAACTGAGAAGATTAAATTATTAAAGACTAATAAGATTGATTATTGCAGAAGATGCAGATATCACCCATAGACTTCATTATTGAGCTAAAAATATAGTTGACTGTCCTATATCAGCAGAAATGTGAAGAAGCAGCTTTGTCTTGTTTGTATTTTATGTCACCTCCCCTGTTCTCCCTCTTTCTCATATCAGGGAACCAGTCCGAAAAAGAGTACTGGAAAAACGAGGGGAAGACTTTAAGAAAGAAGGGAAAATATACAGACTGAGGACTCAGGATGATGGTGAAGACGAGAACAACACTTGGAATGGAAACTCTACGCAGCAGATGTAGTATAGCGAGCACAGTGTGTACAGTCATCACTGTTTCCCTTAGGATTCCACTCCGCTAGACTTCTGCTGGAGAAGTGGGTCTGCTTATGTTATCAGAACATATATACAGTCTTTATTTCTGCTTAGAAGTTATGAGTTAAATTTGTTTAACCTGAAAGTCAAACATGAACAGCTGGATGCTGGGTCCTTATTTAGGGTAACCAGCTGCTCGCCCAGCCACCTACCAGTTCCTACTCAAACTTTACAGCTCTGTAGCCCAATGTTTCATTTAAACTACTTTTTGCTGCAAGACTTTTAAGCCACACAACGTAATTGGTATGTCATTGGGTAATATGACCCTAGAGCACTTCAACTAGCTGATCAGGTGATATCCGATGTTTAGCATTTCTCTTTGCACTCAGCAGCTGCAAACAAAATCTTGTAGTTTTTGATCTTACTTAAACCTTGAATAAAAAAGTTTTCCAAAAATGAGAATAATCTTATTTTTGCTGTGAGCATCTTTCTGTTGTACAGGGCTGTATCGAGGTCACTTTTGTCTGACTTTTCTCCTCCTAGTGCTGCCCTGAAGATGTCAGCAAAATAACTGGCTACCTTCCTGTAAAAAAAGAAAAATGTAGGTATTCTAGATCTTAACGGACACCAGGTCTCAAGTGTCCTAGGTCATTGAGGCATTTGTTTGTTTCATAGTCTGTTCTCACCGATGTGGAACAGATGAGAATGACTAGTCTGCAGCTTAGTTTGCACACTCACATTTGTACTAGTTCACAGTCAGCCATCACTTCTAGGACCCAAGTGTAGGATTAGGGTAGAGTGCAAAGACACCCCTTCCTGCACTGTGGTTACTCCTAAGAGTTTGGAAGACATTCTCTAGCTTCCTGCTTCTTCCACTAAAAGTCATGAGGTTTGACACATGGGGTATGTTCTTAGAGTGCCTGTGTGTCAGGGAACCCTGACCTGGACTTGTGATAGGAGGAGGAACTTTGTTTCCTGTGGGATAATAGGCTTGGGAGATGGTAATGCTGGCAGGAAGCAGAGTAGCTGCTGAGCTGCCGGGGCACAGAACCTTTCTAAAAACATGCCCAGAACTTTAAATGTTCCATACTGTGACACAATAACTTTCTAAGTAGTGGTCATCATTGCAAAAGTTTAGCTATGTGTAGACTAATTACTAATTCAAAACTGGAAACAACTAGACGTCCTCTGTGGGCATAATTTCTGTTGAGAAATGGTACATACTAATGCAACACTTGCCATGTTTACTGAATGCCTGCTGTGTCAGTGAAAAGAAGGTAGGAGACATAGCATAGGCATAGGATGAGTCCATCTTTGTAAGTTTTGTATGTAGAGGACAGTGTGTTAACGTGTATGTAAAGAAAGAAGACATTGTTAATGGATGGCTATATATCCTAGTTCTCTTGTAGTCTTAAATTTTTCCAGTCATCTGCATTGATCATATAACTTACATTATTTAAAGAGAGTTTTGCCAGGTATAGCGGCTCACACTTAAAATTCCAGCACTTAGGAGTCAGAGGCAGTCTGAGTTCAAGGGCTATCCTGGTCTACATAGCAAGTTCAGGCCAGCCAGGGCTTCAAGGTAAAACCTTGTCTCGAAACAACAACAAAAATGTGAGCTTTATGCCGGGCGGTGGTGGCGCACGCCTTTAATCCCAGCACTCGGGAGGCAGAGGCAGGAGGATCTCTGTGAGTTCAAGGCCGGGCTGGACCGATAGCCTCCGAAACAATACAGAGAAACCCTGTCTCATAAAAACCAAAAAAAAAAAAAAGTGAGCTTTTAAATTTTTCTAGCAACCATCTCACTTAAAATCCAGTCTTCTAAAAATGCAGCAAGCTGGGTGTGGCATCTCATGTCTATAGTCTGAGTACTTGGGAGGAGGCAGGAGTATCAAAAGTTCAAGAATATCCTCAGGTACAGGTTCAAGTCTAGCCTAGGCTGAATAACAGCAATAGCAAGGCAATATAAGATTTTAAAAAAAATACTTTCAAGTGGATATGAATCCTGGAAAAACATTAAGTACCTCAAATTTGTCTTGCAGAAAAATCAAATACAAATCTTAAATTCATGTTTTAGTAAGGTGATTCCTCCTTAACTTTAGATCTTACAAAAGTACCCATGGTTGAAAAAGCTCTAAAATATAAAGAAAATGGTGTCTGTGTCCTGGCATCTACCATTCCCCCAAGATAACCTCTATTAATAATTTCTAATGTAATTTTCAGAAAAGTTTTATGCATATAAGCAAATATGTAATCTTTATTTTTAAATAAATGGGATCATATTGTATGTACTACCCTGTATCTTGCTCCTTCCTTACAGTCTCGAAGATCTTGACCTGTCCCCACACAGCCAGCTGCCATTCTTACTACTGTCTGTAGCGTTTTGCCGAACGTAAGGCCCCAGCTGATTACCCACCATTGGATGTATTCCATGCTTATTGAACATTGCTTGGTTTAAGCCAGACAGTGGTGGCACACCTTTAACCCCTGCACTTGAGGCAGAGGCAAGCGGATCTCTGAGTTCAAGACCAGCCTGGTCTACACAGTGAGTTCCAGGGCAGCCAGGGCTACACAGTGAAACCCTGTCTTGAAAAAAATGGAAAGAAAAAAAAAGTTGGTTAGGTCATGTATGGTAGCAGATTTTTATCCCAGCATTATGGAGGCAAAAGGAGGAGAATCTCTGTTTGAGGCCAGCCTGGTCTACACAGTGAGTTCCAGGCTGACTCAGGTTGCACAGTAGGACCATGTCTCTAAAACAAAATTGATTGTTTGGTTTTTCTGTTGCAAACATGAGCGCCTGGAGGAGAGATGTACTCTGACTGAGAAAGGTGATAATGGGATATGGTTTGCTACCTTAAAGGATATTTGAGGTTTGGATTATGAGATGCCAGGTGAGCTCTTTTAAAGGCTGTATGAGTTAACATACTTCTCCATCAGTGTGTGAGACTAGACCCCACCCCTATGCCATCCTTCATCATTGTCAACACTATAGATGAAGGTTATGTGTAATTTATATGCACTGATGATCTTGAATGAACATGGACTTTGGGGGTGTGGGTTGAGACAAGGTCTCACCACAGGCTCACAGGCTGTGTAGACCAGGGTGGCTTTGAACTCAGGGATCTATCTGTCTGCCTCTGCCTCCTGAGTGCTGGGGTTAAAGGTCTGCAGCATGACTAGTGAGATGGCTGTCTTTCATGCTCCTGGCCATGCTGACTCATTTTGAAACTGTCTTTCAGTTCTACTTTACTATTTTTCCTACTGATTTGTAGAAACTATGCACAATAGAAAACCCTTTATGCTGGGCAGTGGTAGATCTCTGTGAGTTCAAGGCCAGCCTGGTCTACAGAGCAAGTTCCAGGACAACTAGGGCTACACAGAGAAACCCTGTCAAGAAAAGAAAAAAATTTCTGGCTGCTGAGCTAGAATCTTTGGATAAGATTTTTTGTTTTTAACCATAATATATATGGATGGGTGTTTTGCCTACATGTATTTTATGTGGCATATACTTGCAATGCTCACAGAAGCCATTAGATCCCCAAAAGAGATCATTGGATCCCCCAAACTCAAGTTAGAGATCAAACCCAAGTAAGTCCTCTGGAAGAGCAGCCAGAGCTCTTAACGCCTGAGCCATGTCTTCAGCTTCCTGGATAGGAAACTTGTGTGGGTATACTGTAGGTGAGGAATGCTTGTAATAAAACTACAGATAGAATCACTCTTACTCATCTTTCACATTTTTACTGTTCTATATGTATGGGTATCTTGCCAGCATGTATGTCTGCATCATGAGTGCCTGGTTTCCAGGGAGGCCCGAAGAGGGCATTGGAGCCCTGAACTGGGTTACCAACCACCGTGTGGGCACTGGGAATCAAACTCAGGTCCCCTGAAAGAGTGGTCAGTGCTCTTAATTGCTGAGCCATCTCTCTAACCACATAATAATCTCTTAAAATTAACTAAAAATTGGGGGGTGTGGGGATAGGAATTGAACCCACATCTTTGAATCTGATAGGCATGCATTTGCCCCCATGCTATGTATGTCCCTGACCTACCGTCCCCCATTCCCTGCTCCCTCTCACCCCCAATCAAGATTTCATGATGTGGTTGTGGCTGGTCTCAAACTGGAGAGCCTCCTCTGCCTCCTGAGTACTAGGATCATAGACAGACACGTACTATCATAGCTAGACCTGCATTTTATTTTTATTTATTTATTCATTTAGTTGAGTGTGTACCATCAAACACTGAAATGAGCACACTGAACCACCAGACAGTTGAGTCATTTCCACAGCTGTGGGCAGGAGTCTGTGCTAGCAGAACTGTCTAAAGAACCCAGGCTTCTCTGCACAACTGCAGAGGCAGTGACTTGTCAGAAGGAGGAAATGGGACTCAGGTTGTGTTGGCTTGGCTGTGTTTCCCGTTGCTTGGAGCGCTTGCAGTATTTGTAGGACAGAAACGCCAAGCTGCAGACTGCAAGTAGCAGAAGAGCGAAGAGCACATACAATGCCGTGTGGGCTTCTGTTTTGCCCAGCATCAGGCCCAGGAAGGGCACGTCCATCTTCGTGGGGCTGCTGCCAGTGGGTCCAGCTTCTAGGAGAGGACAAGAGGGGCTCAGCTCAGGCTCTGGAACTGTTAGCTCCCAGACTGTCACAGCTCTGGGAAAGTCCTCTAATCCTGCAGTGCACAAGCTGCATAGTACCCCCCACCCCTCGCCCCAACGAGCTGTGGTGTTGGCATGGGTCCCCTTCACTGTTGGGTTGTTTTTATCATTGTGGGCGTGTGGGGGCAGAGGACAGCTTTCGAGAGTTCTCTCCACTTTGGGTTCCTAGTATTGAACTCACACCATAGCGCTTTTACCTACCGGGCAGCAAACCATCTCACTGTGCCCCCCACCCCCACACCCCTTTCCCCCAGAGACTGGTCACATGTAGCCCAAACAGGACTCAAGCTAGTTAGGTAGCCATGGATGACCTTGAACTTCAAATTCTACTGTGTCTGTCTCCTCAGTGCTTGGATTACAGAACTGTGCCACGGGACCCTGTCTGTGTGCTGCTGGGAGTTGCACCCCATCACTGGACATGTGAGATGAGCTCTCAACCCACTGAGCCACATCCCCAGTCCTGTATGAAGCATCATTTCGGGCAACTAAGCTACAGCCTGAATTGGATAATGGTCTTTTATTGTCATAGCCATTTACATTTTATAGTCACCCAATAAGTACTAGCCCCAGTGTTTATACAATTCTCTAACTTGACCTAGAAACTGCCTGGAAGCCTCTGTCCTTCTCAAGGAAGAAGCAACAGAGAGTTAGAGGTAGGACTGGATGTGCTCATTTCTACAGTAGAGCCCAGTCTCCAGGAGTAGGCAAGCTCTGGAGAATCCTGTAGCAGCCCACAGGCACCTGAGTGCCTGCTAATGAGTGAAGGGAATAGAAAGGTAGGAGAAGGCCAGGAACTAGAGGAAGGTGGGTGGAAAGAGCCGTTCCCTCTCACCCTTGCCCTTCAATGTTGGACCCTCCCAGTGCCCCCTCACCCTCTGGCTGGTGGAGACAAGGATGAGGTCCTTGTGTAGGGTCAGGAAAGCCATTGCAGCGGATCACAGAGGCGTAGTAGTTGGCCGATGCCTTAGGGATCCTTGGCAGAGAAGGGTCAGAGCGGTTCAGAAAGTACACACCAAACCTCTCTGAAAAGCCTGTGGCCCATTCGAAGTTGTCCATCGTGCTCCAATACGTGTATCCTCGTAGGTCCACCTTATCCTGCACAGCTGCTCAAACACAGACCTGGTGTGAACACTTCACATCAAGACACCTGTGTGCCAGACTGCCTGAAGCCAAGCTCATAGTTGTCCCCACTGTCCTGCTTTGTAGAGTGTGAGTTCCAACTCAGGCCCCTTCCTGTGTGCCGGCAGGTCCTCTGTAGTGGACATGCAGGGTCATCAGTCTTTCTAGAAAGGCTCAGTTCTGAATGGAACTCGGATAGCCTGAGCTGCCTGCACAACTCTCTTCTGTAGCTCAGGGATTGGTCTGAGTCAGGACCTTGAAATACTGCTAGCCATGGAGTGGTGGGAGCATTTAGAAGCAAAAGATCTGAGCTGTAATAAGACCTGGAGCCCAGTGTTTACATATATATCATACATAGCTTGTAGCTATATGTCCGAGTGCTGTGTGTGGGTACACATAGAGGCCAGAGGTGAGCCTCAGATGTTGTCCACCTTGTCCTTTGAGACAAGAAGGCTAGGCTGACCAGCCAAAGAGCCCCAAGGTCCTCCACTGTCTACCTCTCCAGTGGTGGGATTACAAGCAGTCACACTACGCCCAGCTTTCTACATGGAGTCTGGGATTGAGTTCGGGTGGCACCATTGTACAACGACCACTATACCAACTGAGCTACCTCCACAGTCCTTTGCCTTGCAGACAGAGGGCCCTGGAGCCGCCCACAACTCTTGGCCTGCCACAGAGGAGAGTAATGTTCAGAGAGCCAAACAGCAAGAAAGACGGGTGCAGAGGACTCGGGCAGCATCTAAGGTGGAGCCAGTTCAGGCTTTACTTGCTGTGGGTAGGTAAATCTAGCAAGGAAAAGACCTCAGCCATAACCAAATGCTCAAACTCAGTCAAGCAAAGGGCCTTGTCATTAGTGTCCCTGAGGATGCCAGACTGCCCTCCTACAGACACTGTGATACTCCAGCAATGAAGGGGCTCATTGGGGCCGGGCAGGCCGGAGTGGGAACTCTTACCTTTGAGGGCCTCATTGATGTAGCTGCGGAGGTAATAGATCCTGTCGGTGTCGTTGAGTTCTAGCTCTCCCCGTCTGGACACTCCGTTCTCTGTGACATAAATTGGAGGGTTGTTGTATTCCTCCTTCAGCCAGTTCAGGATCCTCCGGAAGCCAAAAGGGGTCACCTTCAGCCAGGAGGAGCCAGAGTCTGGCCAAGAGCTGTCTGCGATGGAGGCAACTCCCCTGCAAGTTCACAAGGTAAGGGTGAGGGAGGTCTTGTTTATAAGCTGCTGGGAATGGTCTTGGTTGTGGCACCTAACCTTCCGAGGTTCCTATCACAGAGGGCGGGCGTCTCACACTAATGTCCCCAGCTCCTGTCCCCTACTGAAGTATAAGTGCTACCTTCACAGAATGGGTCCCCAAATCTGGAGGTCCTCATCTGTGTAGGGGGGACCACTCCAAGTGTCCACATCCCTGGCCCTTGTGGACTGATGGAAAAGAAAGGGGTTCGTTCATGGGAGAGGGGTGCCCGCTGGAGGGGGACACAGGCTGAGGTATCTGATGAGCCCATTATTTCCATAGACAAAGACTTCTCCCTCCCCAAGCTCTTCACAGCACTTGATCCCACTTAGCAACTGACTGTTGCATCTCATAGGCTCTGGTTGGTGGAGGTTTCTGGGGAGACAGTCTCAGAACTGCAGGACTTGGTGGAGGACATGAGGCTTGTTTGTGAAGACAGATCCAGAAAGATGTTGGTGTGAAAAGATGCAAAAAATGGGCTGGAGAGGTATCTCAGTAAAGTGCCTGCCTTGTAAACATAAGTGCATGTTCTTTTTTTTTTTTTTTTTTTTTTTTTTCCCTGAAACAGGGTTTCTCTGTATTGTTTTGGAGCCTGTCCTGGAACTCTCTCTGTAGACCAGGCTGGCCTCGAACTCACAGAGATCCGCCTGCCTCTGCCTCCCAAGTGCTGGGATTAAAGGCATGTGCCACCACCACCCATCGAGTCCATGCTCTTAAAAAGTGGGGGAGTCTGGGCATGGCAGCGCCTGTTGTATTTCCGGTGCGGGGAGGGTGGAGACGGGCAGATCGCTCTGCACACACAAGCACTCACACATACAAAAGATACAAAGAGATTCAGGTGCACACAGACAGCCCTTGCTGTTTATCCACATGAACTGCAACTAAGAAAACAGTTATGAAAATGTGTCGATGTCCTTTCGCATCACTTCTAACATCATTCATGCAAGGACTTCTTATTCTCGTTTCCTAATGCCTCCTCCATGAATATACACTTTTATATTGTAGGGCACAGATAAAATATTTGGGCCTTTGTATTGAAGGCCAAGGACGTGTGTTAGGGGAAGCAACTGGGAGACGCAATGTTGGGTGGCTGTCACTTGCTGTAGATCTCAAGCAAACCCTGGTATACATACCATCAGGTATGCTATGAGTCCAACCCCGGTGAAGGACCCTTTCTGCCTCAGGTGCCCTGCGGGTCGTCTTACCTGTCCGCTTCAAAGGAAGAGGTGGTGGCAGGATAGTTGAGGTTGTAGGCCAGTACAGTGGTGTAGTGGTTGAACCCGAAAAAGTCAAAAGTACCCTTGATCCTCGTCTTCTCACTCTCTGTAAACTCAGGGAGCCTGGAAAGAGGGAGCCATTAGGGGAAGAAGCTTCAGGAAGAATCACATTTGAGGAGAGACTGTCAGGACGGAGTGGGGAGCACTCAGCACTCCAGGCCCTCGGCTGTGACTAGAGCAGCTCCCTGGAAAGGGAAGCCCGTCAGGCTCCTGCCTGATGCTACAGCCCCTCTCCACAAAGAGCCACTCGGCCCACTGGCCTCACTGCCCTGATTAAGCTCCCTGCAGGCTGACCCCTCACCCGCCTCTGGCCCATTTGCTTCAGACATTCTGATTTTTACCATGTATGGTACATTTGAAAACCAAGAGCACATCTGAGGTGATTGCCTTTGAACCGTTCCTTTATGTTCTGGAATGCAGTCTCTGTCATTTGTGCCTCCCGGCCCTCCCTCTGTCCCTGCGCTTTCCCAGCCGGCTTCGTCCAGTGCCTTCCAATGCTTCGCCTCACCAGCGGGGAAGTCTCGAGAGCTGAATGCTGCACTTCTGTGCTCTGATGGTTTCACTGAACTTGTGTTCTCAACCCTTGCTTCTCTCTGGAGTCTGCAGTAGCTCCTCACCTGGTGGCCCCAAGGCCTGGGCCGTCCGTGTGTGGCTTCCATATGGCCTTACCCTGCCCTGCAGAAGGCTCGCCTCAACTCTCCTGCATATACTCTGCTTATTCTGACTCTGTCTATACCCATAACCCTGAGACACAGCGACTTTTGCTCCCCCAAGTTCTTGTCCTTCTGAAGGCCCTGCTCCACCAATGCCCTGGTTCCTGAATCCCCAGGTCTGCCAGCCTCCAGGTCTCTCTGAAGAGCCTGAAGAATAGAATCCCATGCCATCCCCTCTTCCCTGCTGGAACCTGTAGGAACCACACTCTGCCTGTGGACCCCACTCACTTAGTTCTGACCCAGATGTGCAGTAGCTGCTCAGCTAAGCACTGTGGAGGGACCAGAATTCGCACCCAGAACAAGAAGCCAGGCAGCCAGAGAAGCAGTGTAAATTAGATGTACAGAAGTAAGAAAGGTGGTAAGTCCCGAGGCAAACGGAAGATAAAGAGAAACAGGTTAAAAGAGCTAGCCAGAGACGGCTAAGCTAGGCCAGTATTCAATACGGTCAAGTCTTCATGTCTAATTTGGGAGCTGGTTGACCCTAAACAAAGACCGTGGTGCAGGCACCTTGTTATGAACATCGCTTTGGTGGCGGAGCACCCTTGCCCTAGCCTTTGTCACTCATCTTTAGTAATGAAAGCACCTTGGAAGCCATAACTGATAGCTGCCCTCACGGGAAGCAAGGATGCTGTGTTGTAAACCACTGCCATCTGCTGGTTTACAACAGAATAGGATGAACTGTCTCTGGAGTGATGCAATGGGTTGCTTAGGAGTGGGCACTCTTGGGACACTTTCCACACCTGTCCAGGACAACAATGACAATAATAGCATCTGTCTTGTCAGGTGCAGTCCCGTGCCAGCCTCTGAGCTTAGTTTTGTTTTCATTAAAAAAAACTTGTTTCTTGCCAGGTGCTGGTATTGCACGCCTTTAATCCCAACACAAGGGAGGCAGAGGCAGGTGGATCTCTGTGAGTTCAAGACCAGCCTGGTCTACAAGAGCTAGTTTCAGGACAGGCTCCAAAGCCACAGAGAAACCCTGTCTTGAAAAACAAAACAAAACAAAACAAAAAACTTTGCTTCTCGCTGGGCAGTGATGATGCACACCTTTAATCCCAGCACTTGGTAGGCAGAGGCAGGTGAATCTCTGAGTTCAAGGCCAGCTTGGTCTACAAAGTGAGTTCTAAGATGGCCAGGACTGTCACACAGAGAAATCCTGTCTTGGAAATAAAAAGCAAACAAACAAACAAAACAAAACTTGCTTCTCGGGCTGGAGAGACGGCTCATCGGTTAAGAGCACAGGCTGCTTTTCTAGATGTCCAGAGTTCAATTCCCAGGAAACACATGGTGGCTCACAACCATCTACAATAAGATCTGATGCCCTCTTCTGGCCTGTCGGCATACATGCAGATGGAACACTATATATAATAAATGAAATAAAATCTTAAAAAAAAAACATTTTTCATATGAAATATTTTGAATATGTTTTCCCTCCTCCAACTCTACCCAGATCCTCCCCACCTCCCTGCTCCTCCAATGTTGTTTTTTCTCTCTTTCAAAAACAAAAATCAAAACAAACAGCAACAAAAAGACCCAGCCACAGATGAGTGGCTCGCTCAATTCTCAGAAAAGCATCTTCTTGCAGTAGAGGGAATTGACAGAGAGCCTCGACCGGACAGAGTGTGGAGTGGGAGACTTGGAGCACTCTGTGCTAAATGGGTGTCTTTCTCAGCCCTCCTCCCCTGAGACCTATGTGAAAGAGCCAGGGGTGATGGCTGGCTCCAAGGAACAGCGCCCTCCAGACACGACAGGCCTCAGCTGTCACACATGCTGTCACACACCATCTTCCCAGCAAGGACACAAGCCCTAGGCATGGCGCCCTGCCTGGCACTGACACATCGCTCACTCACACTTACCTCGACTTGTTGAGGCCTGCCGCCAGGCTCCTCTCTAGGATCCGTGTCTTCATCACCTCCGGGTAATCTCCGTTACTACTGAAGATGGGGTGTGAAAACCAGCCTCCCATGAACTGTGGGGTGGAGGGCAATGTTCGCTGAGGCTGACGTGACATGGGAGGGAGGCATCTCACCTCTCCCAGGACCCAGCAGGCCTAGCGGAGGCCGTACCATCAGGGTCATTCCCTCCCTCCTGTCAAGGTCTCCACTGAACGTGAGTGGTTTTGCATGCTGGCATCTGCTTACTATACTAGAGACTCCCAGGGACAGTATAAGCACGTCCCTGTTTTGAGAATTAGAAAATTAAGGGCACTAAAGAATTCCTCGGGATTTAAGAAATTCTTGCCGCCCAGAGGTGACAGCTACAGTCTGGCTCTAACCCTACTGTGGTCAAAGGGGAGAGTGGAGGAAATTAGCTTCAAGCCCGTGTTGCATCTAGAGAGACCTACATATAAACAAGATCTCATCGTGGCACAGACAGGCCTCAAACTTGCTATGTAGCTAAGGATGACCAAAAACTCCTGACCCTCCTGCGTCAGTCTCCAAAGTGCTAGGCTCACAGGCACGTATCACCATAACCAGTTTTATGCAGTGCCAAGGACAGACCCTCAGACTCCATGCATGCTAAGCAAGCACTCAGTCAAAGGAGTTACCTCCCCGGGCCCGGACTAACAATTTTTAAAATTGTCATCAGTGGTGGCGGTGGCAGCGATGGCGGTGGTGTGTATGATGTGGAGCAGGGACGGGTACCATGGTGGACATGTGAAGGTCACAAGTCAACTCTGTGGAGTCTCTTCTCCCCCACTTTTTAAAATTAATGTATTTGCATTTTATATACACTGGTGTTTTGCTTGCACATATGTCTGTGTGAGGGTGTTGGGTTCCCGGAACAGGAGTTCCAGACAGTTGTGAGCTGCCCATGTGGGTGCTGGGAATTGACAGGGCCTGTGGAAGAGCAGTCAGTGCTCTTAAAGGCTAAGTCATCTCTCCAGCCCATCTCCTTCCTTCTATCTGAGGATAGAATTCAAGTCACCAGGCTTGCACTGGCAAGTTCCTTCACCCACTGAGCCATCTTGTCAACCTATAGACAACTTTTTAAGACTTAGAACTCAGTCTCTGGCTGAAGAAGAGGTTCAACTGTCAAGTGTATTTGCTGCTCTCCAGAGGACCTGAGTTTGGTTCCCAGTGCCCTGCTCATGTGGCTCACAACCGTTCCTGGATATCAGATGCGCTCACAGGCACACATACATACACATAATTAAAAATAAAATAAATTGGGTGGTGGTGGCGTACACCTTTAATTCCAGCACTCTGGAGTCAGAGGCAGGTAGATCTCTGTGAGTTCTAGGCCAGCCTGGTCTACAGAGCAAGTTCCAGGACAGCCAGGGCTTCACACAGAAACCATGTCTCCGAAAAACAAACGAAATCTTTTTTAAAAACTCAGCCTCTTTTTTTTTTTTTTTTTTGGTTTTTCGAGACAGGGTTTCTCTGTGGCTTTGGAGGCTGTCCTGGAACTAGCTCTTATAGACCAGGCTGGTCTCGAACTCACAAAGATCCGCCTGCCTCTGCCTCCTGAGTGCTGGGATTAAAGGCGTGCGCCACCAACGCCCGGCAAAACTCAGCCTCTTATAACTCA